TAATGTAAGGCCCCGTTAAGACGGAGACACTGTGACTGTAAAACAATAAAGCTGGATATCGGTTTTTGCCTTCTGTTTACATGTAGACAGTGTTTCAGGGGGATGAAAATGTAATGCATTGAGAAACAGCCTCCAGAGTGGAACAACACAGATGCGCTGCTCAGAGTGGGGCTGTTTCACGGCCGTATGAAGAAAAAGGTGTGAATTCTCTGCTTGCTATGACCCCCACTTCCCTGCACATATATTTAGACATGCACAGTAGCCGAGAACAAACAATGGCAACAGGTCAAATAATGTGTGCTTTAAGCGTTACACGGAGGATAATTCTACTCCTTTGTCCATTCAAATGAAACCACTCAATGCTCTAGATACAGTTTCCATTTTTGCAGCTGCTGTTAAATGTAGAATGATGTTGGTGCATTCTTTCACATCTTTGCAGTGGCCTGAGGAGGATGTTGTTGAGGAAGTGGTTGACTTAAGGCGCTCACACGTCTCGTGTTTTAAAGTTCCACTGCCCAATACTAACCGGGCGCAAGAACTACATTGTTTTTCGTAACCATCTAAATGCTCTGCAGGAGCCTGGTCGTTTTTGCTAATTGCCTTGGGTGTCCACAGCGCCTCTTCATCACAGCAAGAATGGGTATGATTCAATTTCCAGACCACGCCTTTCTGTGTGGAGTTTGCATGTTCTCCCCACGTCTGCGTAGGTTTTCTCCAGGTGCTCTGTTTTTCCCCTTCCACTAAAAACATGCACAAGTACTAGTACTCGTTCAGGGTGTGTGATTGTGACTGTGACTGTGAGAATACAAATGGATATCTTCATTCGGATAAGTGTGTTCCCTAAGCACTGTTCCGACCCAAAAAACATACAATACGTAAATCAGACCTGTAAGTGCAAATGTCTTGAAAAGCAGCTTTTAAACCGATGTATATCAAAAGGGCTGCATATCAGGGTATGTGTGGCACAACGCCTAAGTCACTCTTAATGTTTATCTCTTTCAATGGCCAGTGGCTGTTACTCATGTTCACACATGTTCTGTCTTCATCTGTGCTTGTTTGTGCTCATGCGTTTTAGTCTGAATTGTGTGATGTTTCTTAAATAATTAAAACAACCAACATTCTGCTATCTGCTACTGCCATAATGTTGAGATAAATTGAATTACTTATATTTTCCTATACTTTGTTCTGTTTTGTTTCAATTATTTATAATTGTTTATCTGTTGATAGTCCAAAAATGTGAATAAAACAATACAATATTTTTTCTAAATAGAAAAATTAACAAATCATGTGACATAAAAATGGAGAAATATTGATAGAAAGAGTGCACTCAACAAGTTAACGTTTTGAGGAATTAATATAGATAAAAACAAATGCACATGCACTCTGTCATACTTTTATCTTGATGATTGTGTTGAAATATGGAGTAAAACTTTAAAAAATCAAACATCCATTCAACTTTCTTACTTCAAAATAAATCAGATCATACCAATGCTCTTTCTGTTGAAGTAAAAGCATTAAAATTACATTAAATTTAACAATAACTATTATTAAAATAATAGTCCTATCTTATCTTATCTTATCTCTTATGATATTAATGACCTCAACACTGCTTTTGTGATTCTAAAGCTCACATGCTGCTTCAGCGTATCACAGAGGTTCAACCCCAAAACAATAATAAATACAGAGAAAAAATGTATAACAGACTAATAGATTTGTTATCTCAGCAGTTGTTATAATAACTTGTGATATAATGTTTAACACCATTCTCTCTTGGGAGTTATTAGTGTATGTTTGTGCATTTGGATTTATTTTGATTTATATCTAAAATAAAGATGACAGTACACTTTTTCACGAAGGCCCCTATAGAAATCCTGGTTTTATTCCTTGTTTTGTCATTAATGATTTGAGAATTATAACGAGACCTGTTTAGTTCTGCTGCCACATGTTACTTTCCTCGTGAGATTTGCTTGGCAGTGAGTTCTGGCAACCCAGATCACAGACTTTCTGATTGATAAAACGGTGGAGTGCGGGACATCAAAATGAAAACAATAACAAGATTTAGGGGCTGTAAAACTAATTTTGAAATCCGAATATCTCAGCTGAACTACTGTTATCAGTTAAAGAAGTGTTTGAAAAGAGCCATGTTTGTTTATGCCTTTTGACATATTAGGGACATTTAAAGATGACTTGACATGAAAATCTTACATATTTCTACTTTAAGTGTAAATGTATGGGAGGCCTGTGCCCAAATAGAGCCAAACATAGTGACGCCCCTGCTCGCAGCTTATATTTAATCCCAAACAGTTATCGCTGCCACAATGTGGCTCCTGCGCCAATTACTTCATCTAAATGTTTTGCAAGTTGTGTCTGGATGACATCAGCCTGTTGTTAAGATTGCTGTATAATGATCAGCGGTAGCAGTCTCAATCTCTTTGCTATGTCAACATTTCCTCCCTGTTCTGGCTTGCTCCAAAGCGCAAGGAGAAACATTCCTAATGTGTGCATGCCTGTGTATGAGCAATTTACGAGTATTGATGGTTTCTAAGGAAAGTGTGACTTGTTTGGAACAATATACACAAGCCTTATTTTTATTGTAACAATCTTTGATCTGACATAACTTAGTATTTAATGATTAAAAAATATATTCATGCATGTACAATATATGTATATATATATATATATATATATATATATATATATATATATATATATATATATATATATATATATATATACTATAGACTAAATTCATGGAATAATGAAAATTAAAGTATGTTTTTTGCTTTATTATTATTATAATTCTTGTTATTGTCCGTCAGCCCTCATTTATTCATTTTTCCCATTTGCTCTGTGCATAAATTAAAAATAAATGTGCTAGATGTTCCATATAACTCATGGTTTCACCTCTGTTGACCTCTGGCTGCATGTTGGTGTGTGATGGCCTGATGGGTGCTGTAGAAGAGGGTCATTGTGACTCCCAGTGTGTGGAGGGGGGGCTTATTGTCCAATAGCCAGCAGGAGCTTCTATACACTTTGGGACCAATAGCACAAGAATGCTGACAGGACAAAGGCCATAACTCAATTCTATAGCAGCACAAGTGGGGCATTGTGGGCTCTCTTACGCACATGCTTTGGTTGTTACTACAATAACAATATATACAGGAGTGCGTCCGTGAAACCATGCCCAACTCATTCATTCAACTAGTTTCCCATAGAATAACCCCCTCCCCAGGACACATCCATCTACCACTGGGAATGGCCAGTCAATGGGGACAATCAGAGAGGTTGTAGCTAGAGAACTTGGAGTATGTGTGTGAGAGAGGTGGGTTCCAACTTAGCTGTAGTAGTTTTAGTCTCCCTGTTGTGTCTACCCTCCAAGGCCAATTCCCACCATGAAACATATCCCCATATCTAACAACAAAGGTTTTCCCTCCCCTCACTCCTATCTTTTGTACTCGCTCACCCTTTCCCAAGCTGTCTGGACGGCACTTGGCATCAACTAAACTGTAACCCTTGCCACTAATCCGCAAATGGGCCACGAATGAGGAGATATGGGTACATGAGGCTATCCGGCCTAATTTGCCCAATTCTTCTCCTCTGCCTCGCTCCGGTTAGATAGGTGAGTGACCTACGACCAAGCCTGCCACAGAGAGGTGTATGATGCGCCAAGAATGTGTCGACACCTCCCAGCCAAGCACGTCATGATAAGTCTGCGGAAAACACTCAGTACCTCAGCCCAAAAGTGCGCACGAACTCGCACCAAGGTGTCTTTTGTGGTCTACTATTTGTCATTAGTGTGTGAGCAAAGCAGAAAATATTTAAGAGGGATGATGGATGGCTTAATGTTATTGAACACCAGCTAAGAAACCTATGCCTATGAGAAAATAATACAGTGCCTGATCATTTTTTGGACAAATTCATGTGAAGAATGTCATGGTCTGAGCTGTTATATCAAATGGTAATGGTGCAAGTTCTGGAAGTACTTATTTTCCCACAAAATGTAACTGTTAATAATAAACATGTTCTAACAACTACTAGGTATTATTATGATTATTAAGACATAATAAACAGAAAGGTACACTTTCATATTTATAGATGCATACAAATACTGTACAAAAGCAACAAAGAAAATTACAAAGTTCAGAAAGAACATTTGAACAAAAACAGCTGATCTAAACACCGACAGGAAGAAAACTGGACAGAATAGAGCCTTGCATTGTACACACAGACTGACGATCACACATGCTGTATTTCCAAACTCTTTTGGGAGGTATAGCATTGACTCAAATTAATTTACGAGGGTTCTCTTCAACCTTGACTTTAACCCATTTCAATCCATTGCATGTCCGTGGTCTAATTACAAGGAAAAACATATACTGTTGTCCCAATATGGGAGGCAAGTCCCCATTAATTGAGTGTATATACATATTGTTGTCGCAGATCCCCACAAAGTGAAAAACACACACCCACAAACACATTCATTCATCCTCAGGTATTACCCATTCACTCAAGATCACAACACAAGCACACCTGGACTGGCCAAGAATGAACCACCTGCAGTTGACTTGTATGGCTTATTCAGTCTATACATATATACACTGTAAAGATGTTATGATTAGGCCTCTCCACTTTGTGCGTCCATCATTCCATCTTAGGCTAAAGTGCATTAGAAAGAAAGACCTGAATTACTTGTAAGCTCATAGGCATTTGCTTCATCAGAGTAAGCACAGGTCTTAAAATATACAGAGCTGGAGTGTGAACAGTAGCAATCTGAGAATCCTTAATAAGAAAATATGTATGCAGAATTCTGTATTCATTTCCACTCATGGTAAAAGAAATATGTGGATTCTACCATCACCTTGATACTGATTGCTGAGGGACATGGTGTTTCAGAAATTCACAACTAGATGACCATAAAAACTAAAACTATTTTCCCTTGTTTGAACTAAAAATATTTTCAGTCAACATCCCACAGGCCAGTCAAGGTTTCCAGTAAATGTCTACCAATTGCAGTCTTTCTTGAGTAGTGAGAGGACTTTGCGACCCAAGCTGGCCTTCCAGGGCTTCACAAAGCTCTTCATATTAACCAAGAGGTGATCCTGTTTACGGTCCATGTGCCCCGCCACCAGGTACTCCAGTCCTGCCAAAACATTAGGTCAGAAAGAACCATAGAAGTTAATGTGACTATAATGCTGGATTCCATCAAGATTTGCCTATTGTCCTTGACGTTTTTTCCTTTTTAACTTCATGCATACAGTTAAATGTCCATTATGCATTTAGAATGTATTATTTGAGTTCACCTGGATTAAGGATAGGACAGGTGCAGCCTCGTGCTGTCCACGATTCAGGGTAAAGGATGACTCGACCCTTCTGTATTTTCACCCTCGTGTTGTGACTCAGGACTTTTTGAACTTTGACTTCTACCTCTGCGTGGGAGCCCTTGTCGTGGGCGGACAGCACTTTCACCTTAAGCACTGTGGGGAGGTATGTCTCAAGTCAGTAATGGGTTGAACTTACTTGATGATATATTAATCTGTTTTACTTGCCATATGCGTAATTCATTGTGCAGAAGAGTTTGCTGTTGGCCAGGGCTTGCTCTTTGCACTCACATTTCTCTGTGGGGGGGACATAAAATAGATGATCATGTTTGCAAAAAGGCTAAAAACCTTTGTGTGAGGTTTCAGTTACTGTACATAGCGTCATGAGAATACATAAGTACAGTGTGTGTCCATAGAGGAATGTGCCAGTGAAAGCTGCAGTAACATGACAGTGGGGGGTCTGAGAGAGTAAAAAACCGTCCATGAAGAGGCTTGTGCCATAGTCAACCACGCACACTTAGACACATCGGCCTTTGTGCCATACCCTTCAAAGGCCCCGCCATAACCTTTATTATTATACAGCAATGCCTGGATACTGGAGCATGGAGATGAATAAAACCAGATTAAACCATGTTATTTTAGTCTTACCTGAATAGTGCAGTGCAGAAAAGAGTTCATCTGTTCGGAAGATTTTCATAGGCTCACTTGAGTTGTAGGTTTCCAAGTCCGACCTAGACAAAATTATGAATATCAACAGATACATGTGAAAATGTGGCAAAAAGAGGTTTAAACAGTTAAAACAAAAGCAGGTTAGACTTGGTCACAACTGTGCTCTTTGTGTCTGGAGCCGTATTGTTGTATACTAGGACGAAGATGAATGATGATGTAACTGTAGAAGCGTGCATGCATACATTTCATTACATGGACTCACCCAACCATGCAATCCCCTGTGAAGGGATCGCAGTCTCCAGCGCAGTCACAAGGCTGGCAGCCATATTTGTGGAATCCCCAGTATCCCACCATGCACCTGTCACAGTGGGTCCCTGACACTCCAGGTTTGCAGATGCAGTTTCCATTGGTTGGGTCACAAAGGGAGCTCTCAGACAAGTGGTAGGGCATGGATCCCAGTGGATGACATTCGCAAGCTGAAAGAAGTTACATGAAGTGAAAAAAATATTTAACAATGGCTCTCCTATTGTTTTTATGAATCAGAGGGGTTCAAACTTTTTAGGAAGAGGGCCACTTTAGTGCAGCAGACTTGTCAATTACTCAGATTGTAAAACTTTTGTGACTGGGTTCAAGCTGTTCTGAGTTTTATAATTAGCTGTGACAAAGCTGAAGTTGGCTGAATGACAAATTACCATATCACTGTCATTAACAGAACTTTTTCACACAATAAAAAAACAAATGATTACAAATAAAGTCACCAGCTGGATTCCAGAGGTTTTGAGATTTACAGCGAGGTATAACCCGCAAACATGGGTGAAGCTGAAGTGCGCTGGATGGCACTGTGAACTTGTGTTTAGGATCTCAATGGCTACTATGGGTTTGTGAGGCAGAAGGCCACACAAAATGATACAACTTTTTGTGTGGCATTTGGACATGACTGTTATAAATGATGTCTTATCTCATGCTAATCATTAATAACATCAGAATTTACTGCCAAGCCCTAGAGCCTAAATCTCTAATGTCTAAATATTCATGTCAAGGGAACGATTTAACAATAATGGAGGATAATAAAAAAAAAAAACTTAATTAAGGGTCATTATTCAGTTATGTATTAAATCATGGTTTAATCAGTGAAAGATGTGAGATAATAAAGTAGACAAGAAGTGAAACTTTGATGTTGAATTCCCATAAACTCCGAGACATAGTTGTGTTACGCCGTGTCAAAGATAAGATATGCTTTTATTATGATCATAAAAGCGTCTGGTGTTAAAATAGATGCTACAGAACAGATCACAACCAACCACCAACGCAGTGTAAATAACCAACATGTTTGAGTGTGTACATTTTTCCTTGGTTGGGTATTTAGTGAGCAGCCTGCGCGTGTTAATCATTTGTAGAGGTTACAAAACTAAACTGGCCTTAAGTCTACTTAGTTCCATCTAAAGCTCAAACATGTGCTCCATGCTGATTGTGAGTGTTTACATATCTGGTCAAAGCACTGTGTTAATTACATCATTATAAGACGTACACAGTTGCACTAGTAATGTCAATTTCTCTAGATTTTTTAGACTACAGTGTATACAAACCTTGTGTATGCCTTCAAACACACAATAAAGGGAAAGCTCCTCTATTTTTTGTTTGAAACGGAGGAACTCTGGGGACATTTGCAAATGTATTCAAATGTGATTTTACTGCAAATTGCAAATAAAAATAATCTGAATCTGAAATGTAACAACTTTTCTACCAATATCTAGGGATTCTCCACACATGAAGTACACAGAGTAAAGTTACTTTACATTACTGAACTGCAATATTTTGTATAAAAACTTCTGAACGAAAATAACTACTATTGTTTATTATATTAGAAGTGACTATATATTGTAATATACAGTGAAGTTAACCTGTATATTGAATTAGCCGGAAATATCAGATCATCGGTAGGGTTCAATACGTTTTAACAGTAAGGTTCTCCTTCTGCTTTTGAGCATTATGTTCTGACTGTACTCCTTGTCAATAATTACATATTTTTTTGCAATTGACTGACTGTGAACTGAATCAATAATTGCATTTTTTTCCCCTTTAAACAAATTAGTATTAGGCCCGAGGTATTACTACAAGATATAATAAATGTGGTAACAAAAAACATATGCAGTATGTCATGAGGTGTTTAAACATGGTCTAGTGATATTTGATGGTGTTGTTTTGTTATTTAGGACTGAAGCAGACAGCGTACAGATCCATGTGATCACATCATAAAAGATCATCAGATGGAGAATGTAGCCACTGCTATGTGTTTCCAGATTAGTATCTTGTATTTACTTAAGACTTGTCTTGTCACCATGAGGCAGCATGCCGACGACCAGACAGCCGCCAACATATACCACCAGTCATTACACTGGAGATACTTGAGCTCTGAGTCATAAGTTAAAAAAAATAGCAAATCAGTCTAGGATGGACAATCGGGCTGTGTTTGAGCCAAAGCAAAGGTATGTCACACTATCAGATGAGTTACAACAACACAGACCACAGAGGTAGTGGGCTGTGCTGCCCAGACACAATCCCCCAGGTACTCATCACAAATCAATGCAAGGCATGCTCCAGCTTGTGATGCTATCGTGTGTGATCTTAGAGCAAATAAGGAGTGTATGAGGTAAATAGTACAATTTGGACTATAATTATTTTAATATGTTACGTTGCTGCAACTTTAAGGTCTCTTTGCAAATCCCATAAATCCCATCCAGCAATTAGCTTGTCAAAGTCATTGGCTTACGTTTGCATGAGTCCAGAGAAGAGTTCGGCCGCTGTGGATCTCTGTAGAAGCCGGATTTACATTTCTCACATTGACGACCTTTTGTGTTGTGCAGGCAGTGACAGACACCGCCACTGCGCTGTCCAGTCTCCCGCCACACCGACCAATCGAAGTAGCAACTTTGGGCATGTCCATTGCATTTACACTCTGAAAAAGTTGGAAAAAATAATGCTTATTGATTGTCATTATGTTTCTTTCTTAGAAACATGGGATGATGTAATTAATATATCTTGTGTTTCACTGGGGCTGTCCCATATTTGATGTTTTTAGGATCCCTGAACTAAACTCCTGATTTAATTAATGTGATAAAACACTTATATCATGGATGTTTTGAAAAGAGGAAAAAGCTGAATCAGAAATGGGAACTAAACAAGACATTTGGGTAAATTGTCCCGCCACACCTTATCTTACAGTGCCTTTCGAAAGTATAATACACCTTGAACTTTTGCACATTTTTGCACAGGTTTACAAACATAAACATAAAGATTTCAAATGAAGTGAAAGCAACATGATACATGATTCTGCTATTTTTGAAAATTGAAAAGTCAGGCATGCACAAGTATTTTTACAGCATGACTTAATACTTGGTGGAACCCCATTTTGCTGCAATGACAGCAGGAAGTCATTTGGAGTATGACTAGGTTTTGCACATCTAGAGACAGAAAGATTAGCCCACCCCTCTTTAGAAAATAACTCGAGCTCTGTCAAATTAGTTTGTAATGTTTATGATATTTTAAAATTGTTCTCGGCTGGTTATCTGGCTGTCCCTGGCGTCTATGTAAATGTTGCTGTAATCTAATACGATTTCACCGTGAGATTACTTTGACACTCATGCGGGGCTCCGGTGATGCCGTCAGCAGGCTGCCATGGCCGGTCATTGTAGAGGGAAGCACACTCCTCACAATGTTCACCTGCAGTGTTGTGTCTGCACACACACTTCCCATGAACCTGAATGAACATGAAATACTTTATCCATAGAAACAAATAAAGACACAATTGAGTTGTTGTGTAATTGTAGATCTAGCATGGCCTGCCACGGTTCATATAATTATTTTGATTAAAAAAAATCTATAATGCACTAATTTACCTAAGCTTTTGGATACAGCTTGTGCATGTAAAGTAATCTACAGCGTTTGTCTGTTAACTCAAAACTTTATTGATTTTGATAAAAGATGCGTAATAGGCCAGTGAATGAGTGAATTAAATTGTGGAGGTGATCTACAGGGACTTTTTTTTTTCTTTAGTCCTGTGTGTGATCACTGCGCTAGTAAATGGAATTGCAAACATTTGTAAATATAGCCATTGATAATCAAAAGTCCCGGGACTGATAAAGTGTATGTTTTGTTTCATAACTGGAAGCCATAATGTAATGTTTATTTTTTAGATAGCGCATTTTACAGACCAAGGTCACCCAAACCGCTTTACAATGTTCAGAGTTCGTTCCAATCATTCTACACACGGTGATGACGGAAGCGAGTCGCCGAACACGCTGGCCCCCAATCAACACCATCCATTCACTCTCTCATTTACATTCATACCTATTGTGCATGTTTTTAGTGGTAGGGGAAACCGGAGCCCCCGGAGGAAACCTACGCAGACACGGGGAGAACATGCAAAACACTCAGAAAGGCCCTGTTCCGACCAGGATGCGAACCCAGGACATTCGTGCTGAGAAGCGAGAGTGCTATCCACTCAGCCACCGTGCCGCCCAACATTACATGTCAATCATAACATGCCTGAGAAGTGTGACAGTTCAACTGTGTAGTCACTAACATTGTCACATTGTGGGGATTGAAATCGCTGTAACCTGTTGTGACATGATCCCGTTTTATATTTACTTTACTTTTTATATAAATTGGGTTAAAATAGGTTGGTGTTAGGGTGTAAGTGCATTTAATGAAGATTATTGTGGGATCAGATGTAAGAAATAAATGTAAGTCCCCAAGCAGCATGGAAACCAAACATGTGTTTGTGTGTGGCTGTGTCTGAGGACAGTGGGAGTGCGTAGCTCCCGGAGCACAATAACAATCTCCTTGTCATTCCTGTGGGCTGGAATGCCATGCATGCTGGATAATGATTGAAAGGGGGTGGGGTAAAGGCATCTGAGGAAGCTTTTTATTTGTTTCCTGTAATAAGGGAAACACACGTATGACACTATAAGTTCTATACTCTAGTCCTATGATACATTGTAAAGAGTATTGTTGGATGCATTTGTAAGATGCATTTGAAACGACAAACCTAACTTAATTAGGCTAACATTACTAATAATAAAATTGTCCAATGATGAAGTAAGTATGAACACAATAACATTCTCATGAAAAAACTACCAACAACTTGTACAGTAGTAGGAGAAGGAATAGCACAATAATTACTAAATATAGATTTCAACATCACTTCCAGAGTTACCTATGTAGAAATGCCCTGGTCCACTCATTCATACAATAATAAAATCACACTGTTTGAATGACCCATTACTTTCACTTGCACAAGGAAGATTGTGTTCAATACTAACCTATTTATGGATATCCAATTAACACAATCAATGCTGGTTACATCACACGTTTTGGTCTGAAACCCTCAAACTTGACTAAAACATTGTCTTGTATTGCAGTGTTGCTTGTAAGGGGGAAATTAAAAAGCCAGGAGAAAAGCCAAAGAGCAGCCCGAGCACACATTTGAATCATTACTGGCGCTTCAGTAGCTTGCCCTCAAAGCATTACTTCTGAGTGTATGACAGCTTTGTGGCTAACTAACAGACAGTGTAATTGCCTTTCACCACAAAGCCCCATGTGGGGGAACAGCAGCACTAAACAACAACAATCTTTGTTCTGGACAATTTCAAACACTTTCTCTACTGATTACTGCACACAAAAAGAGCAAAGGATGTCACGACTGCAACTCCTTTTTGCGATCAACACTAGTTGGAAGTTTGCACATGGCATAACAGAAAACTCTATTATCTATCACTCTCAATCCAAATCTTTCCTCTCATCGCTGTCAATTTCGTAACAGGGCAGTTTGTTTGGGTTACGCCTGAAGAACAGCTCTAGCTTGAAAATATTTACACCAAATCAGGGAAAATACCAGGATATATTACAATATCTAATCTCCACTTCACAAGAAACATTCTGTATGTCTGACTGGAGAGCCAAGTTCACACTGAGAGAAGGAAGTAAACATTGACATCTATTGTGCTATAGTGTATGAAAGCTGGGGTTTCTGTCAATGCAGTCATTAAGTAAGTAGGATTATCACTCTCCTTGAGTCTCACTGATTACAGCAAAATAGATGTGCCGCTTCAAAAGCCAGTATTTCTGTTTTTTGTCTAGATGAACTCTTAATAAATCACACACTCATCAACACAAGCATTATAGTCACAATCAGTTTTTACATCTCTTTCATTCTAGGAATGTATCAGACCGGGGAAAGAGAGGAAACAGCACCACTGACCCAAACCCACCCTTCCTTTCAAATATTTTTTTTAAAATGTGATGTGGACAACTAAACTGAACTAAACAGAGCCAGAAATGTGATTTGGATGAACTAGTATCAAATCACCAAGAGAGGCCGTCTCAATTTCATCGTCATATAATTCATAGCTCGGAATACGGTACTTGCTGGACTATTAATGCACCTGCATGGACTCCTCATCAGCTATATTTGAAAATAAATTAAATATTGTCCACATGTAAGTCGAACTTTAATATAAGCCATTTTACTGACCGTTTGAACGAGTGTATTTTGACAATAAATGTGCGTCCTTTGGCTACTAAAACTTGATGGAGTCAAAGAACAAGTCTACAAACTCTGCTCTGAAAACTCTGCTCTGCTCTAATCATTTAAAATCAGGTTCTGTGTATTCCTTTGCATTTCCTCATGCCGGCTCTCTCTGCGCTGTTCACATAAACAACACAGTTAATAGAGCTGTGTCCAAATTCTTTCTTGTGCCCCAGGGGATATTCTACCACAATAAAAATAAAAACACATTGGCTGTATTGCTACATAGGCTGCACAGTTTAAAGAACCCTGAGAAAGTAGTGGCTTATTGTCTGGCAGTTATGGTCATTTGTACACTAATCATGGGTATACAGTAGGTTCATCTAGATCTAGAGGCCTTTATCCCACCAAACTGCAGGCTACTGTAGGAGTCTTGCCACTACTCCACTAGTTTCATGGCTGTACTCGACTGGACTACACACATGTAGGGTAGATGTACACAACCCACCATTTCCATTACAACTGGTGCCAGCAATTAACAAAAGTATGTAAGGCAATTATCCATTTTTGGTGTAAACTATTTAACACCAACCGTCAGTGCCATTTATTTATTTCACTTCTGCCTTTGGGATTCTTTAATGTACAGTTCTTGCTGAATTTGGAGAGAAAGTACATTTTGTCCACATATAGGCTGCACTTGAGTATAATTTCATAAACAAACTGTTGCCTCACGATGATCAAAGCACATAGTAAATTCAGTCCATTTTGACAATAGAAGTGTGTGCACTTTCCCCTGTCGACTCTATCTGTGTTGTTCACGTAAACACATCGAGAAGCAGGAATGTGTGCTACATCATCAGCTCGGGAGATTAACAGCTGATAGAAGTAGATCCATATCCGTTCCTGCAAACCAGGGGGCGCTCTTGCCGCTTCTCCGCAGTGACGGTAGCTACATACATTGGCCTAATATAGCTCTTGTATTTATAAACATATATAATGCAAGTTATCTTGCATTATACAACTAAAAACATGTTCAATAGGTATGAAAGTCATTAATGAATGATTGAATGGATGGTGTTGCATGGGGCCTTTGATGCGCCAGTTTGTTCGGTGTCTCGCTTCCGTCATCATTCTTAAGCGTGACCATGGTCTGATAAATGCGCGATATGAATAAACACTACTATTACTACTAACTGAAGTTAGATTAATTTTGTTGAATCACAAAATTGATACGGAATTATTATTCTTTCTCAATACCAGAGTTCTCCCTATTATTCAATAACATTCTTGTAATACATGTCTTCCTCCACAGCAGACCTGGGATTGAAGAGGGAACACAAATCTGACCGGATTAACACCTACCTCTCTTTGGGATATAAAGTAGTACCTCAGATACACAGATGACAATGAGCTTTTGATATTGAGTTAACAAATCTGCTCCAAAGCAAACGGATGATAATATGGCTTATGTTAAGAAAAGAGCAGTTCCCTGAGTCATCAAGTGATTAGCCATTATTTGATCTGACAGTGAGACAGAGCCCAGACATTTGAGGTTAATAATAAATGACTTGTGTTGGACTTACCACATGGTTGGTGCGGTCTTTCACAGGCTGATACCCCACTGCAGGAACACACTGCTCAGCATGGCCATTACAGAAACAGCTTCCCTTCACTATCAGGTCATAAATGGCAAAGTGCTGTGTCGGAAGAGATCGCTGTGCAGAGGTTGGGTCTTTGGCCTGGCACGGGCATAACTGATGCTTCAACAGTCGAATTCGGATGTTAGTTACTCTCAGTTGCCGTTGTCCCTCCAGCCCAAATGGATCCACAGACTCCCATTTAGGAAGGGTTCGGTAGATCACCTGAGAATGAAAATATACATTGCTTTTTGCTTCCAGAGATACATGCCCCTAATAAACTATTTACTCCAACATTTCCCCTCCAATGATTCACATTAGCCCCATAGCAGCAGAGTTTGGTTACAAGTCCATTGACGATTATACACACAAGTGACAACATAATCATTAACCTATTGACCTGCTTTCGTTACATCTGTCCTCACATGACCAGGGGGAAGCTTGCTACTATGAGACCTTCTTTCATCATGTCTGGATCAGTCTGAATCGGTCTAGTTTCCTTCAGATCCTTAAAACTGAGGATCCTTTCATAATGCTGCCACCACTGTGACAACACCACCATTGGCACCTAAAGCGCATGTGACTGTTACCAGGGTGAAGAGTCTTACACAAATTGAGAAAAAAGCTTGTATTGTCAATGGACCTCTTTCTAAAAGGGCTATTTCTACATTTCACTGTCATTTATTAGTAATGCAAGTGTGTGTTTTAGTGGGAATATAAAATGCAGCCCTTTGTAGGTCAATTGACTTGCCAAAGTCTTAAAGAATGGGCTACAATCAATTTCTCTGTTGTTGCAGTAGGTTACAAGGTCACAGCATTGTGCAATTAAGAGATGCCAACACATAGGATGGGGGGAATTTGTCTGAGGGAGAGCATGGGCAACAGAGACAGACAAAAACCAAGATTAAGATGCAGATTCACATAACTCAGTACTGGACAAAAGGCCTACGACAGCACAGCAACACCACGGCAACACCAAAGTACACACGCTGCAGCAAACATCAGGGCCCGGGACCATCCGTCAGTGCCATTAAATATTCTCATTACACATTCATGGTGATAGTTAGTCTGATTACATTTTTGCTAAAAACATTAAAAAAAAGAAGTTTTTTGTTTGTTTAAGGGCTACTGTGTACACACGTGAAATAATTGTTGTTGATATTGCCTTTGTTGTGAATTTGATACTATGTAAAGCATGCAGGCACACAATTCAAATTAAAAAATAAGTTTTAATAAAGAATCCAAGGTCCAAACATAACATCATTCTCTTTAAAGTTTTTAAAATTATGATCAATGTCTTCTTTTTAATAAATCTAACATATACTATGCGCATAGGTTCAGACTATTGTGCAATAGAAGTTGATAAATCTATGAAGAAATTCAAAATAAAAAGGTTTCGTAAGAAGGTCCGGGTTGTACATTAATGTGTCACCAAAAGATTCCTGATTTCAGAGGAAAGTATCCAGAGATAAAAAGTAATCTAAGTCAGGCCCTTTTTTCTAGTTCCTCCCATACTATCAAAATAGGAACACAAATTAGAAGAGTACCAGTGATTGGTTTCTTCAGTGTGAAAAGACCGATGGAGAATGAGGTCAGCAGAAAGTCTGACCAACAGCCCTAATATCAGAGCTCTACCACTTCCTTCCCTGCAGACAGTCGGAAAGCTGTTTATCCGAGTATGTGTATCTAAGACTCTCTCTTCTCTTCCCAACGTTCAATAATGCGCACATTCTTGGAAACAGGCTCTGACCACATAAAAAAGACATTAAGGGGCCCAGCTGTACAACACACAGGACGACTGCCAATGCCTGCTTCAGGTGAGCAGCCACACGAGAGATGACATTCTTTCATGTTTGAAGGACAAGCCGAAAGAGAAGAATACCTGCTTCCTATAATCGCTGTACTCTTTTCAACCCGTCAGCCATCCATCAAAGTTCCTTCTTATCTGATCCCTGGGGCTGAGACACACATGCAATCAACAGGCTTTGATTCACACTACACAGATGTATTTGAAACGCTTAGCCAATAGCAATGTATGCACGCAGACGCTGTGGGGGTTAAATCAACCTGTCAGATCTTTGGCTCTTAAGTCTAAAAACACATTCTTGAAGATATTATGTTTTCTCTTATCAACTTTCATAGCCAAAGGTATACTACTGAAGATGAACTTGTGTTTTCAGACCTATAAGTTGGCATTTAATGGTACAAATGACAAAAGGCATTCCCTTTTTACAAAACAGTAGATTGCAAAGTGAGAATCACCACCTGACCTTTGTCCAGTGAAGGGCCATTAGTGTGAATGCCCAGGGCAAAAGTCTAGGGACTGGCACAGGTGGCTTAGTCCCACAGAGGCTCTGCCTAACCCTTTATGGTTATGTTCATGATAAAAAATAATTACATCACCACAACCAACTTTCATGAGTGTATAGGCTTGTTAGCTTCCATTATTAGATTTATCTCAATATTGTGGCACATGAGTGCCACAATATTGACCTAAACATACCATATGTTTAGGTCAATAATAATAATATATAATACTAAATTAAAGAATACTAAAAAAAAGAGAGAATTGTGACTGTGACTCGTGAGAATTATCCATTCTGTAAAAGGAAGGAGCCTATTTACATGACACAATAATTCAAGTTAGGATATGTAAATGATTTATGGGAAATACATGTGAATTTGGTATCAACTAATATGTATTCAATCTGGCCCTCTGAGAGAACATGTTTGGGCATGAATGTAATTTGATGACAGTCTGGTTGAGAAAACACGACACTCCCGTGCATTAGTTCTGCCATTATCAGCTCAGAAGTTGCTAGAAGATGATTTGGTTTTGAATGTGGTTTCAATTAAACAAGATCAGGAAGTTCTCTCGCGCAATAATCTACAGAGGCCGATTTGACACTCACTCAGACACAGACTTTTACTATGACAAATGTGTTTTCTCAGTGCTGCCCTATGTCCATTACAAACTTATGTGGCATGACTCCCTTGAGTGAATTAAATATGTACTGTGCTTAAATATTTTAGGGACAGGTTTTGTCTAGAGTCTGCTAGGATCAAAGCTAAGTACGGTCTTAATGGTAAGTCACTGAAAGCTCTTAAGCATCAGTAAAATCCCTGAATAACCATTTTATATTAAAAAAGGCATCCTCCTGTCTGCAATCTCATACAGAGCAAGAATGAGTCCACTCTACCCAAAGACTATGTTGTTCTGACACAATAAACACAATTCAATCATAGCATGGTTTAAAGTAAAATCTACAAATTCACCCTAATACAAACGATCTTAATTTCAAATCCGACCACAACACGCTGTCTTCTTAATAGAAAAACCTTCTATAATGTTGCATACTTGTGAGTCACCAAATAACACTTTGAGAGCTGAACGAGAGAGTGAGGTTGGTTCTCTCTTTTTCCCTTTTCTGTCTATCTGTCTGATAGAAACAAACTGTTTTGAGAGCGAGGAAGTAGTTAGATGGATTTTATTCCATTGTTCGGTTTATTTTATCATTTGGAAATCAGGTTCCCCAACTTAAATAACAATGATTTAACAGTATGTTTGCTCTCACCTCTCCACGGTGACAGGGTAAAGCCCTAGAGTATTTGGAGGTACATGTGGCCCCATCACGACCCGTTCCCTTCTCTTCTTCCAGACCAAAGGCCACGCTGCAGTTGGCGGCATAATACTGGAGCTTCTTCCATGTTTTTCCAAAGTCCTGTGAACGCTCCAAGGTCATGGCAGCTGGTCGTGTAGATTTAAACACTAAGATCAGGTGTGTGAAGTAAAACTCTGCTTCCAAGTTTAGCTGAATTGTTTCCGAGTCTACCCCCTCTGCTGACTGCCACCACGTGTTGGGATGGCGGAAGGATGAATCGGACATGGCTCCGGCTAAGTGTGATAGGTAGGGCAGTCCGGCATTACACTTGGCACACTTGGCTCTGCTGCAGGCCAAATTGATGTTGGGGTCAGCGTATGAGCAGTACTGCTCTGTGCCATTGTTCCCACATACAGTCTGTGTTAGCACCCTGCGACCAAGGGCAAGGTTCCCCATGCGTGGGTTACAGGCTCGGCTGTCACAGCGAGGGGCCACGCCTGTGCGAAACATCTCCACGGATAGCCCTGAAAAAACAAAGATGGAATCAAAGACTGGAGGAGTGGACTAACTCATAGTGTTTAAATGCCGAATAGAATCAGCTCAAACAGGCTTTCTAAGTGGGAATCTGGAGCCAAATTATGTCGGTACCAACAAGTTGGCAACCAAAGAGCCAATCAGGAGTGTCCAAATATTTGGACAGAAGACACCTGGTTGTTTTTTTAGTAGTCATATCTGATACAACAAAATACGCTATCAAAATACAAATACAAGGATCATACAGGATCATGATGAACCACAGATTTGTGAGCAATGATCTTGGGCAATCAACTTTGACATAGATCCTGCACTATTAAATGGTGATATCAGATATCCCTATTCTATACACAGTCTGTGGAGGAAATATTAATAAAAATATTTAAAAAAAAAAAAAAAAAAAAAGACTTGTCTTGTATACTATAACTCACAATGCATTTCCCTGGAATTTTCCACAGTACAGCATGAAACTTTCTTGCATTTATTCAATTACAGTGTCTTTAATGCTTAATAAATGAGGTTGCATCATATCACCTGTAATTGTTGTCATCCTGCAGACTTAGATTAATCAGATTAATGCCATCATGTGACACATTACAACAACAAAAACAATATATTGTGGGGTGCAATTAACCAGAAGTCAAATAATATGTCATTCAGGATTGTTATATACTTAATGTTTATGTGCACTTGTTTAGACACATAATTGTCACATCATTTATTCTGCCGTAGAAGCAGATGTGTGAGGGTATTGTGAATACACTAGAAAAGATCTAATGTATTCTCATAATCCTCCAAAAACATGCATTTCCATCTGTCAATTTCACTTAGTAGCTTCACAGAGGAATTTGCACTGACTTTGTTTCCACATGGACAAGTCATTAGCTTGATCGAAAATGCAAAAAGGAAAGCTCAGGACAACCTTTGGTGGAATGTATAGCCTATACTTTGAGGCAGATAAGCTCTGGCAGGTTTGGAGGATAAACTGCATTCAGACATCTACACCAGACGCTTCATGAGCCCCAGGGTCACACTGTCAACTTCCAAGGTGGATTTATTACGTCAAACACCCGATCTGGGGTCTCACACAGCTTTGTGTGAGGGACCCTAAACTGTCTCATGTAAAGCTATTGTTAAAAGATAGATTTTTGCACAGCAGGGTGCCTTTTGTTACGTTTGTTACATAACTGTCAGACTGTTTACATGAGTAAAGGCCAGAAGAGAAAGCAAGAATGAAACCTAATAGCATGAAGGTATGTCTGAACACTGAACACAGAGGGTAGCACAATAACAATGGATAAAGATCTCTAGCCCACTAATATCCCCAGAAATGTCCCAAAGCCTCTGTCAAAATGTTTATACCATTATTAACGAAACAGCTTATTTTCAGCACGATTTACAATAAAAAGGTTAATTGAGCGACAGAAACATGATTTTATGAGTAAGTTGACCCACGTGATGTGCCGATAACAAGCACGGTACTCACCTACATCTGACCTGAGTGCCAAAGTGATCAAAAACAAAATCCACATAGCTCGCATGAATCTGGGAGGAAAACTACACAAACTCATGAGAATAGACGGCTATAACGGCATCTCCACGGGTACAACCTGAGTAGAGACAAGTGCGCAGGGTCAGTTTCAATGAGGACTTTCTCTTTCACTCAACTTCGTCCCAAAGAGGCTGCTGAGGGCGAGATGGGGACATGATCCAGTGCGGCGCGGGATGTCAGGCTGAAGAAGTGGGAAAACTCGAGTCAAGAAAAGGTTCACGGCTCTGTGCGACTCGTCTGTGAGTTGGAGACCTGAAGCGTGTTTCATTTCCCCGCAGTGAGGCGCCTGCAGCCCGCTCTGCTCAGTGGATCTATTTCTAAGGAGCGCTCCTATGTTGACTGCGGAGCTGCGCCACGCCTCCGAATGCTGGATTCTTCTGGATTTAAAGAAACCCTTCGATGTGAGATGGCTTGAATCGGAATGACTAGATCAGATTCAGATTCAGATTCATTTACTTGCCATTTGCAGTAAAACCACATTGGAATACATATGCAAAAGTCCCCAGTGTGCACAAGACAAGTGCATAAATAAAACAAGGTTAAACATTCTAGATTTCTAGATTTGTGATCTAGGAATTTATATCAACTTTTCCACGTGTGGTCTCGAACACACACACAAACAAAGATTATATTGGTATTTAGGTTTACATGTGACCAAGACCAGGATCAATGTCAAAGTTGTGTCCCTATAGGACCAAATGTTATAGGGGTTCAATATAGGGGTCATGGTTCACTATGGTTACGGTTAAAATTAGTTCATCCTGGGATCTTCATTACACGGTCATATCAGGTTTTGAATGGCTTCTTCTTTCTAAAGTAAGGTAAGATATATGTTGTCCCTATTTTGTTCAGTGCATCTGACCCATCCATCAATTCTAATAATGTTAGGAGCAGTGATCTGTACAGCGCCCAGGGACCCTTGACCTTCTCTAGATATCGATGTTTGGTTTGGTCAGGGGCACAGAGCTGAAAGATTGATGTTTAGGAAGATTGTTCTGATGAACGGTAATCCTCCAACCCAGACTGAAGCCTTTTGCAAACAAAATTGTCCTGTATTTGGCTCTCTTCATCTTTGCATCAACTTCCCTGTCCTGCAGAAGAAAACCAGCCCCACAACATGATGCTGCCACCACCACCAGGTTTGGGAGTGGAGATGGTGTGAGAACAGAGTGAGAGTGATGAACTTAGTTTTCCACCACATTTTACATTCGAAACAAAAAGTTCCATTATGTTCAGACCACGCCATCTTCATTTACATGTGTACAGGTGAAAATCAGAGGAAACAATTTTGACTCATGAGGACTTATTGGTGTTGACAACAAGCAATACACAAGATATGGTTTTGAACAGTGGGTTCATACAGTCTTGGTTCATACAAATTATTTTTGCACAAAATTATTGCATTGGTTGGTTGAAGATAAAGAGATCCTTTATTCGTCCCATAGTGGGGAAACATCAGTGTTGAATGACAATTCCTTCAGAAAGGGAGAGAAATCTCATTGGGACTGCACGGTTAAATAGAAGTCAATACTCTGAATGCCAAATTTATATTAGTGCTATGGTTATGAAAAGGAAATTGCATAAATTATACTTGTGATGTGCTGTATAATCTTAATATTGACACTGATTGGCTATAATTTGTTCCTCTGACCATTTGAACCTAACAGCATGGTTTTTGCTCCTCTGTCTGTAGCGCAACCGGACAGCGACCTTCTTTCTCTGTAACTGACCCGTGTCCAATAAGCAGTGAGCCAAAAGAAACGCTCTCACCTGTTCACATTGTTCTGTCTGTCCTGATTCAGTGAAGGGCTCATTCTTCGACACAGTGCACACTGAGATCCTGTGGGGGATTTAATGGACTAGCACCACTTCATTTAATCCCCCCTTTATAGCTAACAGTGGGATCTGTTCGACTATTGAAACTGAGACACCTCAAGTCACATTTTCACTTTGTTCTCAAAATATCACAATCAAACCTATAAAGATATTAGGGGTGAGTCCGTCATACTGAAACAGACACGGCTCCCAACTGATTTGTGTCAAATATATGCAAAAACAGCACAAGTCAAGGATGAGAAAAAGTATACAATGGAATAACTGTTAGATGAATCCATATTTCCAAAACAGAGAATGTGAAATCGTTTTGAAATCGTTTGAAAAGTGAGGTATAGATTTTTGGAGAATGGGATATAGTAGTTTGAACTGGCTACAAAGCAAATGTTAAGGTGCTATTTGGACACACTGACTGGCTGTTATGGTGTTGTGGTTCCATAAAATTTACATATTTATTAACTTTGAACAGTTGGCTATGCCCTTGCTGCACCATTCATTCTTGGTTGGACTTAGACCCTTGTCTTTCCCACAGTCAGGATTACAGCAAAAAAACCAAAGGAGTTATGAATCAGGCTTTAATAGAAATATATAATGTATGGCTCCACCCACACCTATAGTTGATGAATAGTGTTTCTCATAAGTAAGTAATATTCATTTATGTAGCCCAATTCATGGACCAAGATAACCCAAAGTGCTTTACAATGTTTTGGAGTACAATCATCCAGCAGAAAGGCTAGGTGGTGGAATAGTGAAATTGAACCCAGGACAAAGAAACCTTTTCTTAGTGTGTGAAAACATGTTAATGATGTTTAATTGACTAAAAGGAATTGAACAACGTATTAACTGATATACGAATGAAACACTGGACTGGTGTTTCTTTGTTTAAGGTTTTAGAATTTTAGAGTGGAGCAATTGCTTCTGAGAATCATTCAGCTGTGACCCTCTCGGCTTCCTGATAGGACAAAATTCTCATTGGTCAAACTATTCTCCTTCAGCAAAATTGATTAGTTTTGAAAAGATAAGGGACTATCAATATATATATATTGAATGTATTTTCTAATAGTGCTGTATGGTCAAAATATGCTTTTTTCTTCTTAAAAAAATAATAAAATAGATTAAGTATAATTTAGGTTTTGACAACACCTTTCAGTCCATGGGTAAAGCCAACTCTGTAACTTTGCCTGCAAGCTTAATTCTTGTGGTATTTGTGAGTTCATTTGAGTCCTACACAATCATCAATCTGGCTTTTGCCAGGTTAGCAAATTTGTGCTAGGCACATAAGATTGTAAATGACCCTTCACACCCTCTTTTATCAAACTTCGGGCTGTCACCTTCAGAAATGATGTTCAATGCTCCACATTGTTGTTTTAACATTCTTTTATGCCTACATCTATCAGATTGTTGAACTGATAGATTATATGAACTTGGTTTCATGTTATGAACACTGGGGATACTAAAACAATCCTCTAACAAGAAAAATATATTAATGATAGAGTACAGGGACCACAACATAATAAATAATAAAACTGAGTATGTCGAAATAAATTAATAGAATAATTAAAATGCAGTGAAATACAGAGAGATATATAAATGATGAATACTAATCAAATGCTCATCCAAAAATAATTAGTGACTTGTGAAATAAAAATATATGATGAATACATGTATTTGAATTGTATTTATGTAATATCTCTTAAAGTCTTAACTGTCCAAAATGATCATGATCATTATGATGAACATTATCATGATGATCATTATAAATGTCCCATTTACCAATAATCTTATAGTACATTATGAAATCGCATAATTATAAATATTATGGGCAGTGGTCCTACGAGGGAGGATTCACAGAGGACATCTGTGAAGATAGATGTGAACAGATCCAGTAGACAGTAAAGACATTTTATAGAGAGCCTCTAGGGGGCGCTGCTTCCAATCCCATGCGTTCTCAGTCTCTGTAAGGTCATAGACCTCAGTACTTCCGGTTCGGCGGTAACGCGCGTGCACTTTTGTACAACAAACGTACGTGTGTCGAAGAATTAAGGGTTTACGTTTATAACTCTATACGTCTTATTCAAAGATGGTGAGTATATTTGTTCTATTGTTATAAAGAGCCATTCCATGTGTATGTCTGGATTACACATTTCACTCTGCTGGGAACAGTTAGCTGCGTTAGCTTTCCATTCGCCCCTGGAATGAATGAAGCCCCACTCTTTCCCATGCTGTGACAATAAAGCACTGGTTTAGTAGAATAATTGCGTTGTGTGTGTGTGTGTATTAAGACAGATCCTTTGTGTAGCACGAGATATTTTTTTTTTTTTTTTTTTTATGATTGCTGTGTTTGTTTTGCACGGGGCAGTCATTTATCTCGGGTTTGATTTTAAACTAATCTTCGTAACACTCGAGTATCAGACTTTCAAACGACCAAATTAAAGGAAGAATAACATCCATCTCACTAAAATAGTTTCTCTCACTCAAATGTTTTTAAACATTGTACATTTAAAAACAGCCAAAGCATAACAAAGTGCTACAGAATATTTACGAATGCAAAAAAAGATATACTAGACAAAACTGTGTAAAGTGTAAAATGCCTGTGAGAAAAAGTGCGTCTTCAAGAGATTCACATTATACTTACAATATACTCATTCTGTCTAATCTAAGAAAACAATTGTGTTGCTAATAGCAACTTGCTATCAGTTTTTCCCTCCTCGCCTCTACTGAGGATTATCAAACAATTTGTGATTGTCATTATGAAAATATTTTCATGTTAATTTCTTTCTTTGTAGAGTTTACCCCTGAATCCCAAGCCTTTCCTCAACGGCCTCACAGGAAAACCAGTGATGGTGAAGCTGAAGTGGGGCATGGAGTATAAAGGATATTTGGTATCTGTGGATGGATATATGAATATGCAGGTGAGCAAAATGATTCTCAATTTTGATAAATACATGTTAACTTTTCATTGCAATCAACAAACCTTAATTGAATTATGTTTCGGCAGCTTGCAAACACAGAAGAATATGTGGATGGAGCATTGGCGGGACATCTGGGAGAAGTGCTTATTAGGTATTCTGCTTTACTTGTCAGTGTACTAGAACTATATAGTGTCGTCATTACATCATTGTCGCCTGGCTAACACCAGACACAATAATCTTGTGTGTCTGCACATGGCTCATAGCCAATCGTATCAAATCTAAAATGTGTATTGCGCAACAGAAATTCAAGAAAGAAATTTAGACTAGTTTCGCACGATTACTGCTGTTGGTGCAATTTGTCCCCAAGATCAACGTCCCCTTGGTCTCATTTGAACATTTTAAAGCGCTTTGGGTGATCTTGGTCTGTAAAACGTGCTATATAAATAAACATTTACTCGGAGGCACTGGTGATCTGAGGGCAGATCGCTTTTTCGCTGCTGCTGTCATGTTTAATTTGTAAACAAAGTTTGTTCTGTGATTGGTCCCCAATCGAACATTTTGCCCAGGGTTTTCCCAGGCTAACATTATTGAAGATTTAAGAAAATATTAAAACTTTCTTTTGTGTGATGTTTTCCTGCAGGTGTAATAATGTCTTGTACATCAGAGGGGTGGAGGAAGAGGAAGAGGATGGAGAGATGAGGGAGTGAAGATCCGACCTGATGTCACTGTTGATTATGTCAATGAGTTTGTGTGCGTGCGTGCTTGTTTTGCCATGTGAAACAAATGATTGGCTGGACGTTAGATTTTTCTTTTTACATTTGTATTTTATATGTGAGGGCCATTTTATGTTGACTTTTTGTAATGACCAAACAATAAATCAATATTGGGACGTTTTCATACCAGCCTCCTCTCCTTTCACAATACATGAATACATTGTATACAAATCACCATCAGCTCCACCCACAGTGTACTTTAAACCCTGTTCTGCTCTTTTTGGCAAATATTTGCTGGTTCCTCAGTCTGGTTAAAACTGTCACTCTAGTAGCAGACCTTGTGCGATTCAAGATGTCAAATACCCATCGACTGTTGGTCCAAAATGCAAAACAAGTGGTTTTGGTCTGCAGCAATGGAGAAAGATATTTAACCATGGATGGAATGCAATATCTTAAGATAATTGAAAATGGGAGTGTCGTGATAGGAAGGTAAGTGCAGATATTTTGGGTGTAGTATCGGTTAGTTTAAAGTAAATGTTTATATTTTTTCGCCCCATTTTTACATAGAGATGGCCGAATAGAAGCTGTGGGGGCTGCTGATTCAATCAAAGCTGTTTATTCAGAGGCCTCTTTTGATAAGGTGATAGATGCGTCAGGAATGTGTGTCCTGCCTGGTGAGTTTGAGACATGTTTAATGAATAGAACTGCTTCACGCATACTAAATAAAAATCTTATAGGATTGGTTGATGCCCACACGCACCCTGTTTGGGCCGGCGACAGGGTGCATGAATTTGCAATGAAGGTATTTTGAAAGGAACTTCATTTGAAAGAAACAACCGGCAAATAAAAACTATGCCTTCGCAGTTGGCTGGAGCCAGTTACATGGATGTCCATCGTGCTGGAGGTGGAATACATTTCACCGTGGGGCACACTCGAGCCGCAGAAGTCTCCGACCTTGTGTCCTCGCTGAGCAGTAGACTGAAGCGAATGCTGCGCACAGGAACCACTCTGGTGGAATGTAAGAGTGGCTATGGACTAGAGCTGCACACAGAGATGAAGATGCTGGAGGTGATAGAAGAGGCAAGGCGCACACTGCCCATAAATATCTCCTCAACCTACTGTGGCGCACACGCAGTGCCAAAGTGAGCGTCCTTCTCTTATACAGTTGTGCTTATGTGAATATAGTTCAAGTCATTCAATATTATACTCCTAGTTCGAATGTTTTCTTAAAGATCATACTATTTTCACTGTTCCATTATCTTGAAAGTTTTTGTCTTTCTAGAGCATAGATGATCCAGGGCAGATTTAGAGAAATGTTGGCCCTGCTGGCCAAAATTGTGTATTAACTCTCAGAGGTGCCAGATGTGTAGTTTTTCGCGTAAAAGTTGTATGTATAAAGAGACTTATGACTTTATTTCTACAATCTCTTACACGCTCACGACATGATTTCTTCTTATGTCGTGTGCGTGTATGAATGTGGACCTCAGGAAGACTAGCGACCACTTGTGGAAGCTAATGGGGATCCAGATAAATGAATACAATTATGTCGAGCGTATTGCCATTTCAGGATGTTTTCAGGGATTTTGGGCATATGGACTTTTAATGTTTTCAATCATTTTTAATGTGTTTCATTTCATTTTTATTTTTATTTTGAAAAGAACAAAACTATATTGATCTGGCAATGCTTTATCTAATCTCACATGGATCAGGAGTGTAAATCCTTTTAAAGTTGCTTTTGTGATTTATTCAGGGGGAAAACTGTTGCTGAGGCAACAGAAGACATTCTACAAGTGCAGCTTCCTAAACTGAAAGAATACATGGAATCTGGTGCCATGAAAGTCAACAACATTGATGTTTTTTGTGAGAAGGGGGTATATGATTTGACTTCTACAAAATCCATCTTGCAAGCTGGCAAAGAAATGGGCCTAAACATTAATTTTCATGGAGATGAGCTACACCCCATGAACTCCGCTCAGGTACTGACTCACACAAGTTTGACACATTTTTGTGTGTAAATTGTAAACTTGACCCAAAAGTACATTTTAGTTGGGAGCAGAACTTGGAGCACTGGCCATCAGTCACCTGGAGGAGGTCACAGATGAAGGTATAGCTGCTATGGCAAAGGCAAGCACTGCTGCTGTTCTTTTACCAACAACGGCTTACATTTTGAGGTAAACAATTAATAAACGTAGAAAGTATGAGTCATTTACTCATTTCACTCCATGACTCCCTTCTCTAGACTGCCTCAACCCCGGGCCAGGGACATGCTGAAGGCTGGCATCATCGTTGCTCTTGGCAGTGACTTCAACCCCAATGCATACTGCTGCTCTATGGTGAGTGTGACATGTTCTTAGGGGGAAGACATAACTAACTGTTTCTGTCTCTATTCGCCATCAGCCCATTGTCATGCATCTGGCCTGTGTGAATTTGAGGATGTCCATGTCTGAGGCCCTAGCTGCGGCCACCATAAATGCTGCCTACGCCCTTGGGTGTTCCAGAACACACGGCTCTTTAGAAGTCCACAAAGACGGAGACCTGCTGATCCTCAATACAACACGGTAACAGCCACAGTGTGAAATAGTGTAGTGTACAGTAATCACTCATGAAGTAATCATTGTTTAACTGCAGATGGGAGCATCTGATTTACCAACTGGGAGGACATCAAGAGCTCATTCGTTATGTCATCATCAAAGGAAACATTATCTATGACAACGACCGAACCATGTGCTTATGAGAAGATGGGTTATAAAATTACAATAACTACAAATATACATAACATCCCTTTTACTAGTAGTCCTGTCTTAATTCATAAAGTTTTGTTAGCACACATCTTCCAAAATGTATATAAACACAGGTAATCAATTTTATCAGCCATATGGTGAATAATTAGAAGATTCTCTGACAGTGCTTTGATTTTATTGAAAATAATGGTGCATTCATAAATCAAATCCACAGGTAACAACACAAAAAAGCTCAATTACAAAAATATACTAAAACAAATAACTAGTGACAAATGGGCAGTCAACCCTACACAAATATGCCATACAATGAACTGGGGTCAACACAACTCTATGCTTTTCATAATAATGCATATGATTCATATTAAGTAACAAAAATTCCATCTAAGCTTCATACTTTTTTCCAGCTCGGTGAATTTGTTGGTATAATGTCATTGAAAATGCCATTCCGAGGAGCTGAGGGAAAAACATAAATCAGCACGATTCGAGTAAGAATAGAATGGAGAAGTGTATTAAGAGGAAGAAAAAAATCAGGAACATTTTGCTTGTGTTAATACAAAAGTTTCTAATGGAAACGGACTTGGTTGAAAACCAAACAATAATTTACTTATTGTTTGTCATATTTTGCAGTGTATGTGATCTACATGTCATGTGATCTACAACATAACTTATCACCCCGCCAAAGTATTGTGAGTGTGCAAAAACTACTGGACAGAGCTGAAATTGGGTGTGGAGATGGGATGTGATGGTATGAAGACTCCACTGTAATTTCAAGTGTGTGCCCTTCTAGTTATTATTACTCAGTGACACGTGCACAGCCTTGGTAACGTGTGCAATTGTCCAGTAGCTTAGTAGCTTCTGAAAGAGCACGTACCTGAATGACCAACACGCACATCGCTATGGTTCCCAGCAGGTGCTTGTTGTCGTCTAACCACTCTTCTACTTTCTCATAGCAACCCTGAAAAGTCATAATTCCCAGTAAGTAAAATATAATATGTAGTCATAACAAAGTACTAACATACACCTAAGAATATACAGAGGTGAGTTTTTTAAAATTCCATTTCAGTTGGGGGGCAGGTGCTAATACTACTATGGGAAAGAAAAGTCTAAATGTTTTCCAGATTATAATTTGATAGTGATTCACAAACCTATTATACGTCCTTTCTCATGGACATGCCTAGGATCTTTTTTTAATTGCCATCACTTCTTGCCATCATTATAGCAAGATTAGTAAACCATAGTAGATATCCACTGACCCTGGAGTGGTGTGGCCCGGCAACTACATAGAAGTCATCTATAAAGACATTTTTCAACTTCCCTACACAATTGTGAAGTATATAGGCCCTTTGCAATGTTTTTAATGGTTACATGAACATAACCTATTGTTGATCAAGCATTGAAAATCCATCTTTAATAAATGAAGACAGACCCTTGTCCAGAAAGCATTTGATGAATTGCGACCACAGCCAGGGAAGACATGCTGGCAGCAGCGATCAGGAACGTGGTTGACCTGAAGTGCCGTGTACCAGTCAGTGTGGCCCAGCACGCCACAACACTTCCACTGTGAGAAACAGCATTTTGTTCAACAATTATTCATTTTCTGCTTCATATGTCCATATTATGATTATGATTATATTGTTATTGTACCTCTCCCTGTATGGCATTCCAAGCATCCCTAAGGCCTGCATTATTGTCCGTGTTATAGAGAACTAATCCTTCCTTTAGGTCTTTTTTAGCATTGTCACTGACCTGGATAGAAAGCAATTATTAAAACTTTAGCTGAGTTTTCAGTTAATTGGGTTAACAACACCGTCCTACCTTATCCGTGTAGACAAAGAACAAAATGAGGAGGACAAGTTCGGCAAAAAGGATGATCAAAAGGACTATGAAAAACTATGTCAAAAACAAAAACACAGGCATTACTTTTCTGTTAATAATCTGATATACTTCAATATCTCCAAAACTCACACTGAGAAGCAGACATTTGTTTTCCTTAATGGCACCGAGACATCCAAGAAAACCTGTGATCATAACCACTGTGCCCAGAGTGATGATCAGGTTGGCGGCGGAGAGGGAGGGGAACGAAGGAGAGAGCGTGGCGAAGTTTCCCTCGGACACGGACAGCCACACGCCGACTCCCAACAAGCCACAGCCGCCCAGCTGAAATACAACGTCAATTTAGGATTCATGTTGAGCTCAGAAAGTATATGGATCATACAAAAAAAGGTTACCCAAAAGAGCAGGTTGAAGAGAAAGAGCATATATTTCACACAACAAACGCAGCCACGCGCCATTTCTTGAATTTTGGAGGACTTTGGAAGAACACAACATAAGCATACATGTACAGACACACATTAATATTATTAACTTAAGTAAGTAAGTAAGTAAGTAATCTTTATTTATAAAGATTACTTAACATCTAGTTAACAGTTAGAACTTAACATCTAGTTAATTGTGACGTAATTTCATTAAGCTCACTATGAATATAAAAGGAATCGACTTACCCACTTGAATAAAAGAAGAGACTGAAATGGCAGATCGATCTAGAGGAAAGGGATTTTTCACTGTTATTCAAACTGGACGTGATGCAACCATGTCATTTCTAGTGATAGTTTATTTCACTAGACAACTCAAACACGGCTATATACAAAGCAATTACCATTAAATTACTCAAAAGTTGTCGTTGGAGTGAGACATGAAGCTATTTAAATACAAACCCTCACTTTAAAATGTTTCAATGTTTATATTCTGCTTCATCCAAACACTTTTCAAACTTTTATTATTAGTGTAAAATGGGACATAGTGGTTGTGCAGCTTTGAAATAAATCTCATAAGAACTTTGTAGCAGACTATGAGATCAAAGCAATTACAATTTGCTTTGGGTAAATTCTCCGTTTTATCAGACAATAAAAAACCATGCGTTTTGACATGCCTCACATACAACCATCCAAGTCCCGTTACAAAGACACATGGACCCGATCCACCTGAAGCAAATCTCTACAGACATCTTTAAAGTCCTTAAAGTGACTCAGACAGTTGACTTCCATGTGAGATACCAGCTCTGGCAGACTGACCATATGAACAGGCCCATTTTTATTCACGCTCGGAAATGAGACAGAAGAAAAAGGAGTCTCCCACCGTTCGCTTGGGTTTCGGACGCGGTCTCCCTTCACTGCTGCGGGGGCTTGCTCAGGCTGCACACCGCTTCTCTGGTCCACCTCATGGACGGGGAGAATAATAATAACAACAACAGACAAATCAGTTTTAGAAAAGTGTGAACGAGGCTTTGAAGTTGTTCTGAGAGGAGAGGAGGAGAGGAGGAGAGTAGACACGAAGGCGGAGCTAGCAGCACATGGAGGCGGGTTCACAGAGTCCAGCCATGTTGTGCTAAACAAGTTTTTCAAGCTGGGGTACCTAACTTCATTTTGAATAATTAGTAATAAATAATAATTAATATAATACTACAACTGCTATTACTACTACTACTACTAATTAATACGCTACTACTAATAATGATAATTAAAATACTACTACTACTAATACTATGAATAAATATAAGTTTGTAAGTTTATGAGTAACTTGGAGTAATGAATATACTACTACTAATAATAATAATGATAATGATAACAATAATAATACGCATTAACAAACACTGATTGACCCCTATGAATCTTATAATTGAGCTCGTCCATACAACTTTTCCATTTGATGTTGTGGTTATCTGAAGGTCAACAAACCTACTGCCAAATGTGACAGATGCTGAGGGGAGCTATTGTATTTTTGTTGCACCTTACATTTCCACGAAACTTCAACGTCCATCCGTCCATCCATTTTCTTCCCCTTAATCCATTTCTGGGTCGGGGGGTGGCAGTCAGAGCTGCACCCAGTACACAGGTCACCAGCCCCTCACTGATCCTCCTGCAGGTGGTGAGTCCACAGCAGCTGAGATCTTCCATCTGGGGCTTCAGGCAAAGTGGGGTAAAGTGTCACAACGGCAGCAGTCATCAGTGGGAGTAGTGAAGTGGGTCTTGTGGTGGGCTCAAAACCCACAACCTTCAGGCCTAAAGGCCAATGCTCTACCAACTGGAAACCTCAACATCATACAGATTGAAATTCAATTTAAAAGATAAATAAAAACTACATCATGCTCATTTTTTTCTTGGTATAAAACAATATTAACGCTGTAAAAATCTGGTGGTGTTGTTTATTCTGTGTGATTTAGGGCTATACAAGAATGTAGAGTTAATTTGTATGAGATATGATAAATGTCATGTTTAATAACTTACAATGTTTAAGAAAGAATACACTATATGCAAGGTAAACATGTTATACAAGCCTGGTTCAAAATAAATTGTACTAAAACAATGTTCTTTGAAATATTCTTTAATGTTTATCACATAAATTGGTTTAAAGACTTTAAGGCCTGAAATGCAAACGTTCATATTTATTTAAGGCTAATAATTTGAACACTGAGATAAATACAATACTTTAAACAAAACGTACCACATAAGATACAAAATGTACAAAAAATTTGAAAAGCATGTCGATTGCAACAGCATTCGTCGTGTACTTCCAGGACTATAGGCCAAAATCCTGTGTAAATTTGGTTGAGGGCTGTCGGTTTCAATGTCTCCCAAAAGAGTTCAGTTCAACATGTTGCCCGTCTTCTCTTGACAGGATATAAAAATACAGTGAGCGCTCTGTAGCGGGTTCTTATTTCTTTATGCCTTTATTCCTTCATCCAAACCACTGGTCAGACTGAGAGGAGTTCAATTGAACAGACTCGCTGCACTCCCCTTCTGTTTGCTAAAATGTAGGAAACATCAGAGTGAAAATAATATAGTAGTATAATGTATAATGTGTACAGCAGAAACACACACCTTGCTGGCTATAGATCTGAGTTTTCCCAGTAGCGTTGGCTTTTTGGAATAGACGACATCATCCTCTTGTTCCTCCCCTTCGTCCAGAGCACAGCTGTCTGCAGCGGGCAGCTCGCACTCTTTATTTGCAGACATCACTAAACGAGAGTATTTGTACTCCAGTCTACAAAACAACATGCATCATTTAGGGACGCTCCAAATTCTCTTTTGGAACTAACAATATGACATTCTGTTGGTGGCAATTTAATAACATATGGCTAAAATTATAATCTAAGACAAGAAAAATAGGATTGTGGTGTTTATATTATGTTTTTATCTCGTATTAAATTAAATTAAAGATACGTCATAAACAATGGGTTACGGTTAGGTATACGCCAGCACATGTCTCGGTTTGTTGTTAACGGTTAGGGTTAGATAAGTCCCCATGGCTTTCGTCTCTGAGAGTGAGATTCCTCCTAAGCCTCTGCTGTAAATCTGCATCCTGAAAATCTTTATATAAAGGGAGATGTAACCTTCCACCTTACCCCTACCCCTCTGCACAATTGTTAAATGGCGTCAGGAAGAGGGCTAAAGGGTATATTTCCTGCTTGTGGTCTTTCTTTAAAAAAAGAAAAAATAGTGGTGCCACTAACCTTTTGTTTTTCTTCCAGAAATAGCATGTCAGAGAGATGAGCAGCACAGCTGCAAATGCCCCTCCTCCAACTCCAACTTTGAGCCACAGTGCGATGGCTTCACAGTGGGCGGAGCCTCTGGGAGGCAGAGACACGCCTTTGGTGCAGACTTTTGGCTCCTTCCACATGTAGATGATTTCCTAAAACCACATATACATTTACTGGTTATCATTTTGGAAACAAACACAGAAGTTATGGGTTCAATAGTCCCCTGTAGAGGGCGCTGTACCTGCATGCTTCCTTTGCATACTCCTTCGATGTGGTGGTAGTCATCCTGAGTGCAGCGAGGACATGCCCCAGAGCTTTCCCACAGAAAATGAAAAGTGCATCCATCACAAGTTCCTGCTGGGCAAGAGCTGGGGAGGCAAGACTTTCAAGTGAACAAAGCAATAGACATAATGTGATTACTTTTTATTTGCTCAAAAATGTTTGTTCACCTGGGTACACTGAGCTCTCCACGCTGAGACTTTTCTGTGTTACAGCGAACAGTAATGACTGAACTGCGACCCTTCTCACATGAAGCTGTTGCTTGAGTTGATCTGTATAAAAGAAAAAGGACCAAACATCACACATCCAAACACCAAAACGTCCAATTATATCCAACACAATATTGTATAACGTACCTGTAGTAGAAATTTATATCAGGTACCTCCCTTGTGTTTTCCTCAAATAAATCAAGTTTTGCATTTATTCCATCAAAGACTGAGTCAACAGTTGCACCTGAAAAAACAAAAACAGTCAAATGTGATATTCACGGATGCCCAAAGAGCAAAAGGGTTTCAATTATACCAAGAAACGTGTCCGCAAGGCTGATAGACTGAGAGGAAATGGCCATCCTGAAGCCCCGTCCGTCGGCTGGGATAATGGTTGACTGACAGATGAAACTGTCCACGGAGCTGATGAACTGAGCCGAGTCACTCTGACCGTCTTTGCTCGACACGTCTGTGACATTATCCGTGCACTGGGCCGCTCTTTTCCCCTGCAACACAAATGTAGAAGCCAATATAAGGATTTTTGCAAGATTTAAAGGTTGCGTACATGTTGTAAAATTGGAATTCCATTGGAGGACAGGGGACTCTATGGGGAAGAAGTAAATTTTGAAAGAAATTGTATAAAATAAATTATCCAAAAAAAATTCCCAGATCATTATTAGTGATTAGATTCACAAAGCTGCCTTATTCTTAGGTCTGAAATTTTTATTGGCCAACAACATGAATATTTTGAATATTGTCAACACTTCTAGACACCATTATGAGAAAATAAATTAAAAAAACCCAATATTAAAGTTGATTGTAGTTGTTTTTTTATTCATGTGGATTGGCTCAGAAGAAAATTACAGAGAATAGCTTTCAACTAAGAGTAGAAGACTGTTGACACTTACTAAAAAGTTACCAAGAAAGAGTTTTTCAGATTCCTTCCACCACAATTTAAGATGATAGTATAGTGGTGATGTCATATATTGATGAAACTGTACACTCTTTGTCAGTTTGTGCAGCACACTGTACCTCATTGCCACAAAGGCTGATGTTGAACAGATGGAGGTACTTGGTTCCTTTGGAGGTGAAGCTTGGCCCGATGGTCACAGACGCCACTTTGCTCATATCACCAAAGTCAAACATCAGGGTGCGGTTATTCTCACTGTGAGTGAACAAGCAGTCACTAAAGCAACGAGAATGTTCCTAAACACATAAAACACATAAAATTATATTTAAAGTGTACAATCTGTATTTGTTATTTTGCTCTATTGTTTGCTTACCTTGTTGCTCTTACTTCCAGGACCACAGGGAACACAGGTGTCCTGGCCGTAGGTGTGACGCCCTGCTAAGTAAGTGTTGGGTGGACACTCAAGGCATCGGTTTGTGTCTCTATCAATGTAATATCCCGCAGGGCAGGGCACGCATGTGGAACTAGCCCGAAGCGAGTTATGGGGTATGAGGGCGCAGGCTCGACATGCAGACGCTACTCCATCCAGAACATTGGTCACACTGACTGAGTAAAGCTTCACCATATCACTCACATAACGACGCATCTGCACAGAAGGAAGACAATCACGCTGCTATAATCAACATAACATAACAACATAGACTCAGTGTGTCGAGCCCCACATATTGAGCGTGTTTGGTTCTCTGAAATGCCCAAGTATATGTGACCGAAGAATTCTTGGTCACAACAAGTGAATACGTCTGTCGCACTTTACTGCCATCCCAAAACTCCACCACTGTGGTGCCTTTAGGATTCACGTCCTACAACACAACTGAGAGTTAATATTTATCTACTGAACAATACTGGATTTGAGGGACTGAAGATCATGGAGCTCACCATCATAAAATAAAATTCACAGTCAGCAGAGCAAAGGGTTTCAAACTCAAAGGTTATTCGGCCAAAGTCGCCTCCAGTCATCCCTGAAAGAGACGCTGGGACCCTGTAAAAAAAAAAGTTTGTAATAATGTGGTGACTATAAAAAGGTTTTAGTCTAAGGTTAAGTTGTACAGAACAACCACTTAATAACAAGTAGAGGAAGTCAGAACTTACTTGAAGCCAGGCACATGCAAGCTGAGTATCAGATAATCGTTATCAGAACTTCCTGCTCCACTGCGAATGTGGTCTCCTGCTACTTCCCAGCCTAAAATAAAGGCAAAAACTAGAGTAATTTTTCTGTTGTCCAATCCATAATTAGATGTTTTTACCCAATTGCATCACATGATATTAAAATCTACTAATGACAAAAGGTACAGTACATAACAAATACCATGAAAAGCTAGAAGAAGATTTTATCTATAAATCTTGGCATAATACCTCATATCTCTGACACTCACCGTTCATGTCATCACAGTTAGAGTTCCCGACATTGAAACAGGAGGTCTTCATGTTTGTGGGGAGCACATTCCACCACTTGTACTCATAACCCAGGACAGGTTCTGTACCTGCAGGGCACTTTTTACACACTATCACACACACTCAAATGTTTAAAACAAACATGGCATGGTACGGTGAGATTGTGCAAAAATTGAGAAATTGGTTCACCGTAAGTGCCGTCGGAGTGTGACCCCGGCGGGCAGGGGAGGCACGTGGAGTCGTTGCTGTTGTAGTAGCCGGGGTTGCATGGAGGACAAGGCTCTCGTTGACCAGTGGTTTGCAGCTCCACCGCCCCAGTGATGTTCTCAATACAAATCTTAGGCTCCACCCAACGGTACAGCATCTGTGTCTGTGACGAGGACAACATTTGACTATCTTTCATTCACAAAAGTTCATTTATTTAAGTTATTTCTGTAATACAACTTAAAATGTGAATCCAACGATATAGACTCATTATATGCAAAGAGACATGTGTCAAGCCTTTATTATAATTTTGATGTTTATGGCTCACAGTCCATTTTCAATTTGGGATTTTTAACAAGCTGTGAGCCAATTATCAATATTATAAAAAATACAGGCCTGATATATCTAACTTACTGTATATTAGTTTCACATTGCAGGTTGAAGTAAATAGACTTTAACTACATTCTAGTTTAATCTGTACAATGGCAAAAATTCCCTAAAACATAACAAATACTACAATTAGCTGTGAAAAAGTCGCTCCTCACATTATAAAATAGTAACTATTAATAATAAATTATTATTGATCCTGTAAGCTGCTTACCTTCCCTTCACTGTCACATGCTGTGTGGATCTGGAAGTAGTCCTTTTCTGAGCATGCTGGCCTCACTCTACATTCTGCCCATCCTTCATCTATAGGAACAAAAATAAGTCAAGTTTATTTGAATAGCACAATTCAAACACAGGGCAACACAAAGCCTTTATAAAAAATTAGAGAGGGGTCATTTGAAATATTCAGGCAAAATCCTCAATAACCACACAACATACATTTTAATTAAGCAATAATGAAAAAAACTAAGATAATCCTTCCACTGCAATTATAGTAGAATTATGAATCTATTTCCAAAACAAATAATGACTTAATCATGAAAAACAGAAGAGAGTTGAAACTATTTGTTCATACGTGCAAAATGATTTTCTGGGCAGGGGGCACAGGAGGATGATCCCTTTGCAGAGTAGGTGTTGCTGGGACAGGGCTGACAGGAGGAGGACCCTGGGGCTTCACTGAACCATCCAGGACGGCATGGGAAACACTCAGATGTGTACGCCACTCCTACAATTATATACAATCACACAAAGGAACCAGTAGTGCCAACATTACTTGTGGCTGTGTATTTTTTTAAACCATACCTTCTATTTGGATGTTTTTTAGCAGCACAGGATTTACTCTTTTCCCTCCTACTAAGATCCCAGTCGTTCTCCAATAAAGGATGTTTGTACCTGTCTTCAAATTTACCTGAACAACAGAGTATGGCCGTAGTTTAATCTCAGTACAAATATATCAGAGTAAGAATACTCACTGTGTGTGTGCCCCATTCTCCGTTGCTAGTGATTTTAATCCACTTTTGTTCATCGTTCTGAGCCATTTCTTGACACTGCTCATTCTGCACCTATTCATAAAAACAAGTCCATCTTTAGAAGTGACTAAACAGAGTATATAATTATAAACTTGTCTAAAGACATACGTAAAACTCAAAGAAGATGTTGTTGTCTGGGTACTGGTATGTGAATGAGACAGAGCCTTGTTTTTCCAAGTGGACAGCATAAATCAAAGATACTGTACACTCATCCCGATTTGACTCCAGATACACTCCCTGTGGAGTCCAGGATGAGCTGCACAAGAATTACATTAAATCATTATTAATACAATATTTTTCTTATAATTGTTTGAATTACATAGATTAATATCTTCTATATGAAGCTGTCATTGCCACCTGTTGCATGTTTGAACGTCCTCTCCAGATTGACTATTGTCCATGAAGCTGGCCATGCTGGTGAAGCCCACTGGGATAGCATCCCACTGGTCAAACCTGAGTCCGCTGCCCAGTGAGTATGAGCCTGCAGCACAGGGCGTGCACTGCTGCATGGACATCTCCAGATACATGCCAGCTGGGCAGGAGAATGCTGCAGCCAAGGGAAAAAAATTAGCAATGTATGAGCAATATGCAAAATGAGACTGAGGTACTCACAGCAGTCTGTGCCCCTGGAGGGAGGGGGCAGATTAGAGCAGGAGCCTGGTCTAAGGGGGATGGCCACTCTCCATCGTGACCCAGTGCTGTCACACTCTGTGTACTGGTAGAAGTAGTCTGCCTGCACTCACATGAGACACAATAAGACATCACTGAACCATTGAGCCATAGGTTCATGTTTACATGTTTCTATGAAAATTGCAGTGTGCGTCATGTTGCACAGTATGTTGTGGGTTTGCTTTCTGGTCATGACCAATTTCAAATAGAACATAATCCTGTGCAGGAAAAAATAAAAAAGAACAAACTACATGTTGCATACCCTGTGCTGGTCAGTGGACATGAATACATTACCGCGCAGACTGACCCTGACTGCCAAGGCAATGACTGCTAATTTCCTTTAGTGCATTAGCGCAGTGTTTTTCACCCAGTGGGCTGTGGCACCTTAGTGTTTCTTGGGATAGTGTGCCTTTAGAAATGATCCAATGACAACTAATTTGTCAAAATAATGAGGAAAGAAAATAAAGTGAGATTTGTTTGCGCTTTTTTGATTTTCTATATAATACACAATGAATGACTCTGCGTTGTTAATAAAGGCTGCTGAGCTTCATTCAGTTTCAGCAGGTGGTGTGGCATGTGATTGTTTTCAATAAAAAAAGGTGTGCCACGGCTCAAAAAGGTTGGGGAACACTGCGCACGAGAAAAATACACAAGAGAAATACATGAGTGAAATTATATTCATAAAGACGCCATTGTCATTAGGCATTTTTTCACATTTATTTATTCTTTTACTCAAATTTGAACAGAATAAAAAAAAAGTTGTGTCATTTCATTTAATGTCACTTATACTAAAGAAGATTTTTTTCTCAAAGCAATTACAGCACCAATAAACTATAATAAGAAGATTAGTTGTTTTGCTTTGGATAATCTCCATTTCCTCCTCCGAGTCTGTAAATGAGCAAGCAGTCTGACAGCTGGCTGCAACAGATCCGAAACATTTAAAGACCCCTTATTACATTAAATAAGGTTAAAATGACCAGCAGTTAGTTAGAAGATTGACCTACGCTGTCACATATGTGTAGATGTGGATAAGATCATCCTCTGTAATCACGAAGTGGAGGAACAAACATTGCTATTCATCTTTCTCTCTCTCCTCCTATGAAAACAAGCCGTGAGCTAGCATTATAATAGCCTCATTATAGTGAGGCCATAGAGTAAAACCTGTTGTGTCTGTATGTAAGAGGACCCTGCACAGTGCGGACAGTGCTGATAAAAACACGGAATGTGCTGGTCTCCCTGGTGACACGCTCCAGAGTCCCGTTGTCATGGAGACTGATGAGAAGAGGGGGTCTGAGGTTACGGGTTGATAACCTTTTATTTATGCTTGGAATAATTTATTTCATTCATAATAATTTGAATAATTCATGTTGTCTTTTAAGGGGCGACAGTAGCTCAGTTGGTAGAGCACTGGTCTTTGGACCTAATGGTCGAGGGTTCGATCCCACCATGACCCATGTCAACTGCTCCCACTGATGTCTGCTGTCGTTGTGTCCCTGGGCAAGACACTTAACCCCAATGTGCCTGAAGTCCCCGCTGAAAGACCAAGGCTGCATCTGTGTCGAAGGAGCAGCCATCTTCCCGTGGACCCACCACCTGCAGGAAGATCAGCAAGGGACTGGTGCTTTGTGAATTGGGTGGCAGTTCTGATTGCCACCCCCCTGACCCAGAAATGGAAAATAAAGGGATGTAAATGAAATGAAATGAAATGAAATGAAATGTTGTCTTTTAATTTGGAGAATATCTTATCTATTTTATTATAATTTGAATGTGTACCACTGTATAATGATTAGTACATTACCGTGTTCTTGTGATCAGCGATCCACAAAAACAGGGTGAGAGTTAAACATCACGGAAACAGGCTAAAACTATACTGGTCAGACTAAATTTAAACAAAGCATCGTCAATAGTTTTAACTTTGCCTCCGATAAACAAAATGACAATCACCCAAGCGGAATTGCCTTGATGACTTTTGTGCTAGATAGGTTGCCACTAAAAGTCTCCACGACATGTGTCATGATCATGTAAATATGAATGATGTCATGATGTGGCTCTAAAGAACACACATTATTATTAGAATAATAATAATCATTAGAACGCGCGCTCAACCTTTTAAATCAGTAATGCTTTGCCTCCTTTAGCATCTTAACGCGTATAGCCTATATATAGCCAGGTTGTGCATAAATCAACGTGGTGGCGATGGTTGTGATAAACAGCAGAGCGCGCTCACCTCTTCACAAGCCCGCAGATCTGTGAGCGCGGACGCTGCAACATGAGCGGTGATGTAGAGAAGTAAACAGGACCAGGTGGCCCTCTGCTCCTGCATCCTCACCACAGTCACCGCTGCAATAACAAAAACACTTCAACCAGGAGTCCGAGAGTAAAGATTTAAATACACATCATGGAGACGTGGGCCCTCCGCAGCTCTGCATCCTCCACCCTCAGTCAAGCAAAGGCATCATGATTTAGAGCGCTTCCGGTGCTGATGGCACTGGGGGGATCGACTGGTCCCAAAACAAGATACGATATGACCACTGTTTTTGTTTTGTCAGAGATTGTAATATATCATAGTAAAGTATAGTATTGTATAGCATAGCATAGTATAGAATAGTATGTTATAGTATATAGCAGATTGAATGCTATTTAAGTATTTGTTCATGCCTCAATACGTCTTTTTTTTTAACAGTTTACCATTAATTTACTTACAATAATTTGATCATTATGGTAAATTCAACTAGTGAAATGGATGTCATTATAACACGATGTGCAATTATGATTAAAGTGTAACTCAACGTTTTTTTTTTAAATCAAAACTATTCTAAAACAAATAAATTATTGTTATGAATCCCTATAACTATCATTATAACCATAGACGCATAACAATGTACAAGCCCATCGGAACATAATGATAATAATAGCTTGTCAGCAGAGGGCAGCCTTTCTACATTCTTGCCACGAGCGCGATCCCAAAACAAAAATACGGAAATGACGTCATGAGCTCGCTCAAAAGTTGACAGCGCAGGATCATCTCGAAGAGGACCACAAATAACGAGAGAAATGAAGCAGTTTCATACGTTTCGCTTCTTATCTGCGCACAGAATGATTCCTTTACACCAGACACCCCAGGGGCTTCTTTAATGTCTTGTTCTGGAAAGCTTATGTTTCTCCACGCAAAAGTTTCCATGTATTACCTTATATAGAGTGGTAGACCTTCTTGTACAGATGCAAACGGGATTTTCACGCTGGTGTAGAACAACACTAAATATCAAATCATGACATCGGACAAGATTGTGGATATTCACATGGATGACAAAACATACAAGGTAAACAAAAAACAACTCATTGAAAAAAGCGACTACTTTAGAGCCTTGTACAGCTCTGGGATGAGAGAGTCTGTCGAGGACTGTGTACATCTGCACGGCCTGACTGTCCCTGGACTGGAGCTGGTGCTAGAGTTCATAAAAACCTCCAAAGTAAAGATTGCCAATGAGACCCTGGAAGACCTAGTTGAGACAGCCTCGTTCCTACAGGTCACCTCCATACTCACGCAGCTGTCACTGGAGATTCAGCTGGAGAACTGTGTGAAGCTGTACGGTCTCTCAGAGGTGTATGGAGCTCATGACCTACACAGTGCTTGTCTCACATACATGAGAAACCATTATCACCACATGCTCAGGCGATCTGACTTCAGCAGTCTGCCTGTGGATGTCAGAGCGCAGGTCAAGGAGCTACGTATGAAAGGTACTGCCACGTTGTTGGTCATTGGATACTTCACCTGTTTGTCTATGGATGTATCTATTCAAGAAGACCCTTGGTCGATGCTCATGTACGAAGAATTGGAGCAGAGATGGAAACCTCTGGCAAACAACCTGCCAACAGATATGCTCAATGTACGGGGGTACGGCTCTGCTGTCCTGGACAACTATCTCTTTATTGTGGGGGGATACAGAATGACGAGCCAGGAGATCTCTGCCGTACATTGCTACAATCCCTTTAGGAATGAGTGGAGCCAGCTCGCATCACTCAACCAAAAGAGGTATATGAAGCAGGAGATATGTATTCGTCTCTTTGTTTGTAAGTAATTATTATCTTCTTCTTTAGATCCAATTTTAAGCTCATAGCTGTTCAAGGAAAACTCTATGCTGTTGGAGGCCAGTGCTTGGGCACAGTGGAGTGTTACAGCCCTGAGCAGGATGGGTGGACATGTGTATCTTCAATGCCTGACCCTCTGACTGAGTTTTCTGCATGCGAATGCCAGGGCGTGATTTACATTATGGGTGGATATACCTCCAGAGGTATGTGTAAACTCTTATGATTGACCAGTGTTTAATACTTGGATTGACTTTTTATTTATAAAATGATTGCACAGTCAGTGTATAGTTGCAGCAAGGGATGCAGCTGATGTGACGCAGAGTATTCCTAGTACTTACTATCCCTTATTTGGCTCGTCCTCTGTCATTGAATGGATGCCCTTTCTTTTCCCCCATGTACATTAGACAGAAACACGGATGTCCTGCGGTACTGCCCCAGCGCCGACGCATGGACAGTGTTTCGTTCTTGTTCGACACACATTCGTAAGCAGCAGATGCTGTCAGTGGAAGACACTATTTACCTGGTGGGCGGTTACACTCATGAGATGGAGCCGAGGCTGAGGCGGCCTGGGGAGACAGAAGATGTGCTGACAGTGCAGTCGTACCACGTGACGACAGGGGAATGGCTCCAGCTGAAAGAGAACTCATCCAAATCAGGTCTGAACTTAACATGTGCACTACACAATGACGGCATCTATATGATAAGTCGTGACGTCAGCCTGCCCACAACTTTAGAGCTCCGTGTCTTTCTGAAATACAACATCTTCTCTGATGCTTGGGAGTCTTTTAGAAGATTTCCAGCTTTAGGACAGAATATGCTGCTCTGCTCATTATACCTTCCAAATAAATTATAATTTATGATGACTTTTCTATTTTCTGTATATATATTTATGTTTATAGTTCAACATAAAAGTGGAAATGTTTTTCAGTCTAAGTTTCTTGCCTAAATTTACGGCACACTACGTAGGATTATATTGTATTGCAAACGTTTGGACATAGATTAAATGATCCATTAATATGAACCGTTGTTGCCTAAAGAATCACCACATAAAAACCTCTACAGCATCTGCACCACAAACATGTGCATTTGAAGCGTGCAGATGAAAAGTTTGATGCATTTTGAAGACAATCTTGTGGGCAGATGAGGTCAGAACTTGAAGATCATTGTAAGGAATAATGGGACAGCAGTATTTGTTTTCATGTATATACTTTTAATGACCTACAGTGGAAACTGGAAGTTTAAATAGACTGTGTGAAAAGACTTTCTGGTCTTTTTCCACCTTTAAAACTGGCTTTATATACAGTTATTTACATAGGTGAGAGGTATTACCTTTCTATAGTATTGTTGATCCAAGGAAAGACATATGACAATAACTGCCATCGTAACTAAAATGTTATATCTTGTTTTCATTGTGTAAACTTGTGGTTTCCACTGTAGGTGGAACAGTATTCCTGATGATTACACATTTTTTCAGTTTCATACTTCTTGAACACATTGTTTTTTTGTGTGAAAGACACCATTTGGTCTACACATGTGAAGTGAAAGCAAAGTGAAACATTAAGGAAAAAGAAAAATGAGTAAAAGTGTTCAATTGCCTTTTTTCTAAGTTCCAATTGTTCCAATTGATTGCCTTTAGATGTTGCCTGATGACTGATGAATTGTCAAATGAGTCCACTTGAGTGTAATCTAATCTCAGTGTAATTGCAGCTGTGCTGTGATCGCCACAACATCATGAAGTTCAGGGATGAGGTTTAAAGCATAGTTAGGTTTTAAAAACATTTCCATGCTTTGAACACACCCCATACATAAAATGACACAGAGGTCATTGTTTGTAGTCATGATGTGACAAAATGGAGAAAAGTTCATAGGGTATGAATGTCTTTGTATTTAACCAATACATTTACGCTGCCTAATTATGATAACAAAGTTTGCACCTTTCTCTATGCGGCCCTTAAACAGATGCATGCCCGTGTGCCTTTTATCACAAACAATATGTTCATATATGTTTCTACAAATACATTTACATAATGTGTTGCCAGTGTTTTCTCTGCCTGTAGAGAAAAACACTGATCACTGTTATCTGCTGCAGCTGCTGAGTTTTCAGTAGAGGCCATACAGCTGGATTAAACCAAAGAAACAGGGAACACAAATTCTTCATTCTGTTCTGCTTAAAATGTGAACATAAACCACATGGCCATCATTTACTTTTTAAAATGAAGAAGGAATCAGCATTTAGGTTATGACTAGATTTTGACACCATTCATTTTCACTTCCTGTGAAAATAAACTGTATATCAGTTTATCGGATGTTGTTTGGCCCTGAAAAAAACAATATCGGATTGACCTCTAATTTGTACATGTTGAGCTTGTGTATACTATCTATATAAGATTATACAAAAAGTATAAAAAGGTAACATACAAGAAGTATTCAGTACTGTAATACTGTTTGCTTAAGTTTGTTTTCCCTTTGACATGTGTACTACCATAACATATTGTCTTTTTTGTATCATATTCAAGTTTGCAATCGTCTTGTTGACTGATTTTGCCATAAGAAGATCTCTGTGCACTAAATGTAAATATTGTGAAATGGTCATATAGAGGAGAATTTGATCTGTTCATGAGTTCATACCCTAATGCGAAACCCTAACTCCAACCCTAGTCCTAACGCTAAGATCTAACCGTATCCTAACCCTTATCCTTACCCTCTCCCTCCACACTTCATGCTTCAAAAACATAATTAAACGTTATGTTGCTGTTAATTGTCTAAATTACCTAAATGTCTATAGGAGGATTTTCTACTTCTGGGTGGACCATCAATACGATTGGTCCTCCCAATTGTCAATCATTCTGGTGATTCATGCTCGTCAAATAAGACCAGAGAGTTTTGTTCAAAAAGTGGAGAGGGCGATACTTTCCTAAAACTTGTGAAAATCTTCCTATATACCTTTTAAGTATAATTTATTATTTTGTTTAAGTTATTAGCATATATGAAATCATGTGGAAGATAATAAAAGCCCCTAACATGATAATCTTTTGTCCTTATGTTTTGTATGAATTATTTATTTTATGGGCTAAAAAAGAAGAACAAAAAACAGTATGTCGCATTGTATCTCAAAGCAGACAGCAGAGGGCAGCACACACTTTACCCAAATGAGTTTAAATGTGGGGGATTTCACCTTCACGTCGATTCTCTATCAAATGATTGTATTTTTGTTCTTGCTTCGTCACATAGCGCACAGAATAGGATTGTCATATTGACCCAAGGCAGTGGCAGTGGTGCAGGTGCTACAGGCAGCCTCATCATCACTTACATAAATGTGATAGTGCAGAGGTCACGCACCACAACAGTATTTAGACGGATGGGCAGTCAGGATTGGCTTCTTTAATTTGTGACTGGGAATGGAGAAATCAATTCCCAACGTCAATATTCCCAATCGACCTGAGCGTGGAGGTTCAAATGACACTGGTCTTAATTTGTCACCCCTCCCCAGTGACGCTGAAGTGTGTCACTGCTCAAAGAACTCAGAATAAAAGCTTTTGGGGATATAATTCTGAATGATAAGCTTATGGCCACATCATAACTGTAATAACATAGAAGAACAATAGGATTTCATTAATTACAAATATGTGTGCCCCTTAGAGGATCCAAGCTGTTATATTTCTTGTACTGTGGTGTGATAACAAAACCAATGGAAAATGACAACCTCACATGATTCTGTATCTAGTATGTGGAAAGCATGGCTCATGTGCGTATGCTTGTGTATGTGTGTGCGCGTATGTGTGTGTGTGTGTGTGTGTGTGACAGAGAGAGAGAGAGAGAGAGAGAGAGACAAGGACAGGCAAGCACCAAGGGGAGGGGAAAGCAACGCCACAGCCTCACCAACCACTCTCACAATACATTCTTGAGATTGTGTGGAAGATGCATGCCTTCATAACAGAAACCCCAGCGGAGGGATAACAGCTCTCCCACCTCTTCTTTTGCGCAAAAAAGAAAAACCCTGTAGCCACATTTAAATGCAGGTAAAGCGGGGGATTTGTGCATAGCCTAAGGATCTTTTAAGAGGATCTACCATTACTGTTCTGTTGGACTTGACTTAAGCTTGTGTGTGCCACTACTGAAGAGGTTGCATAGTCGTTCTTTTGGTGCAGCTCTGCACTGGGAAAAACCTGCTGGTCACATTATGAGTGAGGCAAAGAAAGGAGAGCTGGCCATTCGGGATAGAGCCATTCTACACCAGCAAAGGAGACTCAAACAAGCCACCCAGTTCACTCACAAGGACTCCGCTGACCTCCTGCCACTGGATGGGCTCAAGCGCCTGGGGACCTCTAAGGACTTGGTGAGTGGAAAACATTGCTTTCTTTGCGACAAAATTGCATTATGTGAAATGATTGTGTTAGGAGGAAAAACAGGATGTGCATGTCATGAATTGTCTTTTTTTTTTAAAGCTTCAAAATTGTCTATACATACCAGAGGACAAATGTGTGTGTTCTTATGTAATGATGGAGTGGCTTAGGGTCGCAGAAGCTGGTGTATCTTCAGTCTATAGGCACATCCCCTGAAATAGACCCAAATGTCATGTCACATTGTACTTTGGAGCTGGTGCTGTAGGCAGTCTGAATGTAAAGTGGGACATCACATTCACTTCCTCCTCCTGTTAACCTGCAACTGTTGTGCACGAGGTGGAGGTTCCTGTCCTGATTTATGCCACTGTGCTATTTGACAACTACCCATTGAATAGAATGATACACTGTGATTTAGATTTTGTTGTTATCATTTTATACAATTGAGAAGAAGAAGAAGACAGAGCAGGCTACAGATGAGATACATGATGCACCTGCCTGCTGTATTTAACCTTTGAAACTAGATTATAATTTTATAGCTATTTGTTGTTTTTGAGAATTCATCATTAAATACAGACAGAAATAGAGTAAGTATTCTGACTGTTGAAGCAAGATAATGCCAACAATAATTAATGTTCCTCCATTGTATCCATTAACATGAAGCGGTTGTGGAAATCGTTGATGTTATGATACTATCTGAAAAATGTAAAGCCTGTGTAATCTCCACAGTCATCACTTAGTTAGTCTACAGCAGCCATTCCCAAACTCAGTAACACCGAGGCCCCCTTAAAAATCTGACGGGTCTGCGTGGCCCCCCCAAAATAATAACCAAGAAGAGGCTCTTCTGGTTATTTTATTTTGGGGAAATAGCCTCTGCTACAAACATTGTAATACAAAAATGATTACAGTGGATTATTCAAGTCAAATAATGAACACAAATATTTTAATATTACAAATAAAACATAAATTTGACATTAAATAATTATATTATTTTTTTTTTTTTATGACCTCCCGCGGCCCCCCTGCAGTACCCTCGCGGCCCACCAGGGGGCCGCGGACCCCACTTTGGGAGACACTGGTCTACAGTAACTCTTGATAGCCTGGTCCAGCCAAGGATCACTCCACCAGTTATTTTGACTTACACTTTTGACAAACATTTTTCCTTCAAGCTTCATATGTCCTACAGTTTGGAAATGTCTGTGTTGTAAAGCACAGGCTAAAGCTGGAATACCTGACTTTGATATTTGATACATGTGCTGTTTTTAAAATATTTTTTCTATTTTTGTTTGTATATTTGAAAAAAAAAAAAGAGCCCTGTTAGTCACTATTTGTAGCTTTTTGGCTAATTGGGCGACTTTTCTGTCTGAAAATGGTAAAAAGCCAAATTATCCACCTGAAAACAAAACTGTTTTAAAGCCAGGAACTAGTTAAATACATTTTATACATAGTTCTATTTTATGTGACTTGAAAGTTAGTTTATGGTGGATGATTTACATTTGGCTTGGGTCAAATGAATATGTCAATCAATCAATTCACTTTTATTTGTAGAGCGCCTTTGCTAGACAAGGCTCACAACCCACATCACATCAAGCATTAATCATAAACATAATCACAAGAAATATTAAAAACATAGAGAATGAAATTAAAATAAAAAAAAACTCACAACATTAAAATCACAGACAGGATTAAAATCATAAATAGCTCCAGTGCATTAAAAAGAGTACATTTAAAAACCTTCAGTTCAGTTGTAAATGGCATTTAATTCTATTTGGATTGGAGACAGGCCTATATCAGCATGAGGCGAATCGACCCAGTGTAAACATATAATAAATCGTGTTTGTGAGGAGTCAAAATATCTGTATTCCCTTTAATCAGCTTTGAAATCATACTGAGGCACATTTTGGTAGTGGACTATGTCATAAAAAAATGCCCAATGAACCGTTAAAAATAATTTATATAAAGCACCATTATAAGAAAGTGAAATTTCTAATAGGACAATACATCAACGTCTTCAACAGCAATTGGTAAAGATTTAAAATATGAGCGAAAAAAGCATTAATGTCGAGTTTCTCATCTTGCTCAGCCTCTTTAGAGCCATGCCACAAACACAGGCCAGCGTGTAAAAGCAGAAGTGGGTGTTATGTAAGGCCTAATTTGTTTATCACTTGCCTGGGGTCTCCTGCTTTAGCAGCAGAACAGCAGAACATGAAAAGGGCAAAATCCAGGATGTGGTGGTAACAGAGCTGAGTAGGGCGTGCCTGATGAGGGGCGACTTGTATATTTATGTAACACAGTCAGACATTCAAAGAAACCAGTAATACGGATGACCATGCAGTAATAATCTGAAGAAAAATACCAATTACATTATTTTGGAGTATGGACATTTTAATCTGTATGTAAAAAGTGTAAAAAAAACAAAAAAACAGTTCTAACAGTATATGACCCTTATTTAGTCATACACTGTTATTATAACTGTTAATGTTATTTATTTATATATTTTGTAGAGGGATTGTAAATATTGTTTAATAAGCTGCTTCAAAGTCGGCTTAACGGATCTGTCATTAAAGATGGGATATCTGACAAATCTGAAAACATGGAAATAGGAAAGAGCGCCACCTGCATGTGCGAGCCCGATGCCATCAAATATCATGGTCTAAGTAGGGTAGGGCCTGGTTAGTACTGTGATGGTAGACCTTTCTTGACACCAGATGCCACATTAGGGCGACTGCGATCGTAAAAATGTCAAACTGTAATTGTGTTTTTGGTCAAGACATAGTATGAGTATGACTCTGGCTCAAACTGGTTGCCTCGCTTCAGTCAGTTTACTCCGGGGCATCTGGAGTATGGAGTGGAAGAATAATGCCATGTGATGCCTCTTTGAGAGTCCAAAACAATACTATAAAAACCAAAGCATTATTAATATTCTAATCAATTAAACTATAGTTCATCCTTTTCAACAGTTTGGTTCTATAATACTTTCCACATACACGCTTTTTTGGCTTCTGTCACATTAGATCAGCTATTTCAGATATAAAAGTGAAAGGGCCATATACACACTCAGGCAATCAGCTCTAAGCCCAAACACTGAAATTGTAACTAGTAGGGCTCTTTATTAAGATCTCTGTAATAAGATCTCTGTGCCCACTGATGTGATTAGGAAATGATCTTTTAACAGGATTCTGATTAGTGCAGAGCAGATTGCAATCTTCACTATCAGAACACAGCAATTTAATGTTTTCTCAAAAGGCACTTTTCTCTGAAGTGCGTTTGTTCCCAGACAGATAATCCAGGCCAAACTGGTCCACTGTGAGGTGTGTTATTTGCGAGCTGGTCGATTATTGGGAGGTGCTTGTGTGAACCTCTCTTGCTCTGTGCCATGGGGTGATGGGAGGCACCATGCTGCCTCAGCTGCTCCTGGCTCATTGTGGAGGAGTGCACGGGGCTAAAAATACCCCATCAAACACAAATGACTAAACAAGCTTCACGGCGGAGTGGAGCATCCGCACAGTGAGGTGGAGAAACGCAGCTGCTGGAGTTTCAGGGTTGTTATTGTGAAAGATGCTCAATTGTAGAAAGGACAATCTCGAACACTTTGAAATATAAATGTGAGGTAACGACTCTTGACGTTACAAGAGACTCCTTCAACAAAGAACGATGGAATAATGGATCACATGACCCATGAATGAGGCAGAAGTGTCTGGTCCAGGCAGATAATCAGTGCACGTAGCAATCAGTAGCTAATCTGGTGCACAGTGAGGAAATAAGGACCCCAGGGTTACAGCGCGTCAACACGATGTCCACTGTCTAATTCAAATGCATTTAGCCACATCAGAAGAGACAAGAGAAGAGAGTAAGCCACATTACGGATGCTAAAAACCTTGTATTTAGTTCTTGTACAAAAAAACAAAATACACTGGATTTTGCAGTAAACAAGTTGAAATGTAGATGACGAACAAACGGATGTTGTAGTCGAATGAGCATCTAATTCAAAAAGCAACAGTATTAAAAATGTACATGTGTTTGTAAAGACGATTAGCCAAATTCTCTGCTGTGAAGTTTAATCGAATACATGACTGAATATCCCAAATGTGTTATAATTTAATCAATGCAAAGCAAAATGTGTAAAAACAACCAGTCCCTTTTCAACTCTGATGGGAAATGTCATATGATCAGCTGGATTATACTTTAGGTTAAGGTTAGGGGGAAAGGTCAGGCTGTGGTGCAAGCTGGCAACCCTGCTTCTGTTAGTCTACCCCAGGGCAGATGTGACTACAGAAGGTCTACTTACAGTGGTATTTTTATGATTTTAATTTATAAATCATTGATTGCTTGGATAAATATAGCATATAGGAGACAAACACAGTGATATTTGTGAAGTGAAATAAAGTTTGTGTCATTCACAGAGAGTGAAAGAATTGGGAAAACCAATGCAGTCGTCTTATTCGTTTATGTTCACTGTTGTTTGTTATTGTCCGAAGCCCAAAACTCATCCCAAAGACAAACGATCTGCTGTACGAAAAACTTTAGAATTCAAGAAAAAAATGTAACGCGTTATTTTTATGTAATTAATTCATATTCATGGCCCTAATTTTAATACCTTTAAAAATGGTTGGTAACCTCAGTGACCCTTGACCTCCATGCACGGGAGAATCCAATCCTGAGAAAGGAGGGCAGAAAGTGTTTCCCCTCTTTACAACTTGTCTGAGGTCTGGCAAAAAGGAGGCTTCAAAATAATTCTCAAAAGACGTGAAAACAAAGATTGTTCAACATCTTGGTTTAAGGGAAGGGCACAGAGAGCTTCAGCTTTCAGTTTGAACTGTGAGGAATTAGAAGACCACAGGCACACATCTAGTTCATCTATCAACTTTTATTTGTAGAACGCCTTTCCTACACAAGGCAACACAACGTGCCTACTGTAGGTGCCCGAAGTGGCAGACCAAGAAAAATCTCAGGTAAGTAGAGGCGCTGGATGGTGAGAACAGTCAGAGTCAACACACAGACCACACAAAGACCCACAACTTCCGCTGCAGATGGTGTCGCTGTGCATCATGCAACTATTCAACACACTTTAAAAAGGAGATGCTGAATGGAAGCCTTTTCTCTGCACACGCCACAAACTGTTGCATGAGGTGCAGTACAGCACATCTGGACAAGTCTGCTTTATCCTGGAATAAGGTGCTGTGGACTGATGAAACTAAGAGTTATTTGGGTAAAACAAGGGGCATTAAGCATGAAGGAAATACATTTGGTTTAAATAATTCTTGCACATTTTCTGTGAATAAAACTTTAATTCACTTCTAAAATATCACTTAGTTTGTCTCCTATAAGATATATTTAACTGACATTTTAAAAATTATAATAAAAACAACCAATTCTTTATGGAGGAGAATCATTTTTGCGGGCGATAGTGGCTCAGTTGGTAGAGCATTGGCCTTTGGGCAATGACTCTTCTGGCCCCTGGAAAAGCCATGCTCCAGCTTCTTCCCTCTGGCAGAAGATATCGTTCACTGAGATGCAGGACATCTCGATATGCTGACAGCTTCTTCCCACAAGCTGTTATCAGTTTAAACAGAGCCCTTTAATGATCTTGCACTTGTATTGAAACTGTTTTAATTGATTGATTAAAATGGTTTCTGCACTTTTTTGTTTTGTTTTATTTCTGTACCTTTATTATAGTTTTACTTATATTTTTGTCTGGGCCACACTGGGGACTTTTGCAAATGTATTCCAATGTGGTCTTACTGCAAATGGCAAATATTGCGAAACGGCTATAAACCGTAAAACCATTATTCTCCTTCTGCGAGATGCTGTTTTTTCCTCCATCATTAGAACAGACATAAATAATCTAATCAATCTGTTCTGCTTTCAGCAACCTCATAGCATTGTCCAGCGGCGCTTACTGGAGGGAAACATCACAAGGTTTAAGGCGGACGCTCGGGACCCCAATGCCATGGTCCGATCCCCTCTGGCTGACACCAATGACAAACCCACCCCTGATTCAGAGGAGCGCAGCGAGAGCACTGCTGATGACTCAACCGAAGAGCGGGAGTCTCTGGAGGAGAGCGAGAAAAGCCTGCGCTCAGACGAAGAAGACGAGTGCAGTGAAGCCGGGGCCAAGCAGAGCGTAGAGAAAAGTGCACTAACTAACCTGCAGGTCCAGTGCAAGGTGGGCAACAATCTACAGCCAAACAAGTGGTCTCACACAGCACAACTGCAAACCTCCTCCAAAAGGCAATGGGCAATCTTTATTAAAATACACAAGGCAAGGAAAGGCAAGTTTATTTGTATAGCACAATTCATACACAAGGCAACTCAAAGTGCTGAACAAAATAAGACAGCATTAAAATCACAAATAACCACAGTATACATTAAAAAGAAAGATTAAAATATAAAATGCTGCCTCCCCATGTTTAGTTCTGACTCTGGACACCAGCAGGAGTCCAGTCCCTGTGCTCCTCAGAGTCCGGGCTGGTTCATATGGGACTAACATGTCACTAATATATTTTGGTGCGAGGCCATGGAGAGACTTGTACACAAGCAGAGCTGTTTTAAAGTCTATTCTCTGAGCCACAGGAAGCCAGCGCATACAGAACATTTTTTGGCCATCCACAGTGTAAACTTTGACCAAAAATAAAACAGGATTAAGGCTTACAGAAAAAATTTGGCCCCCACCACAAGTATAATTATAATGAATAACCAATGTTCATGAATGCAAGTTGGTTGATTCAGCAGGTCCAACAGGTTTATGTCGTCAAGTTGTGTTAATGATCATAAGTGTTAAACAGACTGTGTCAAACAGATGAACAAAGTCAGCACAATCAACATTACACATCCTATAAATGGACAATTTACTGTAATTATTAACATTATTAATCTGTGAACGTATTCAGCCCGAATGTAATTCAGTAACTTACTCCAAGTAGTGCGCTGATGTGTGTGTCTTCCCGTTTGAGTTATTATTTTTTTTTCAAAAAATGAAAACTTGTCTCATTGACACACATATATAATGTATATAAAAAGTTGCTCTTACTAGTGAGACCCAAGGAGGGAAATCCTGCTCAGATAGTCAGCTTTAGAATAAAAAAAAATATATATATATTACTATAATGATGTGGATATCAAATCATGTTTTTGTTAAATAGATGTAAATATTGGAGCACAAAAGGCTAATTAGGATTCGTACACGTCGACCATGTGTCTGGGAACACAGCTCGAAGATTGTTATGTAATTCAAAATAAAATCATACATACTGTCCCTTTAGAACAGCAGTAATCTGCTTCTGTGTTCCCCAGTGCTGTGACAGTGACGTCCGGGTCTCCATCAACACTGGCAGCCAACACAACCACATCTCCAGCTCCTGCTGCCAGCGGCTCGGGTGAGCGTTCTGCTCAGTGACATCTTATATAGAACTAACAGACGATCGTCAGAATGCATATTTAGAAGCTTTAAGGTTAAATATGATCTCGTTTCCTAGACTGGTGTCTGATAAAGATGGCTCCTCAGTCACAGGCCTGAGGCTACAGATGGGCTCCGAGACGCTTCAGTGTTCGGCTTTTCTACAAGGTAGGACTTTTGTACTGTACAAAACCCACACTTTTTATTGCAATTCCCATAGACAATTACAACAGTTATGAATAAGAATTCACACAATTTCTGAAATTTCTCCACTGTGAGACTAATGAAGGTTTATCTTATCTTATCTTATATCAAAACTATTGGTCCCAACCATGAAGATCTTCTATCAGCTGCTTTCCAGTTTTTTTTGCAGAATATGTGAGATTCACATAAACCTTTGTGTAAAATCTTTAACTTTTTGCTTTAACCCATATTGAGTGAGCAGAAAGTCAACAGTTGTTTTTACATTGATATGTAAATGTTTAATGCTAAATAAAAACATTAATGAATACATTTGGTTTTGTTTCCAGATGACAAGACATTTGAGCTGTGCCTTGGTCTCCAGACTCTTTTGGAACTTAAAGTAAGAACCTCTTTAAAACGTTTAATTCAGGCTAATATGTTTGAACCTCTTTGCACTTATGTAAATGAGCAGCGTGAGGCCAGTAATGGTCAAACCGCTTTGAAATGCACTCAGCCTTTCGTTGTGTATCGCTAAATAGAGAGTGAATTAAAAATAGTTTACTCTTCCAGCTTTGACACCCTCTGCAGAGGGTCAATATTTTACAAGGAATCTATTGATCTAACATTAATTCAAAATATTTTGGGTGAACATTTTTTCTGCGGAATTTCAAAGATATATAAAAAGTTCTAAGTTGGGGACAAAGGTAATTTTATTTGAAGGTATACAGTGGCTATAACGTATAAAAATAGAATAGAAATGAATTTCACATAGAATAATAAGAAATAAAAAAAATGTATAGTTTTTTTTGCTTTAGAATAAAAACGGCCTGCTCTCTGGAAATGAAAACTAAAATGATGGTTAACCTGGCAACCTGGTAACCTGGCAAGAGCCAGATTGATGATTGTGTAGAACTCTAATGCGTTCTCCACGTGTTTGTGAACTCACAAATACTGCGAGAATTCAGCTTGCAGGCAAGGTTAGCAACTTTTTTTAGTTTTTTTAGTTTTTGTTTTTTTAGAGCAGCTGCATTTTGCCAAAGAAACTGTGGCTTTAGAACAACCACAGTTCTCAAATCAAGATAGTGGATAATTATTATACATTTCATTGTTTGCAGTGTAAAACCTTTTCCTACTTTTACACCAAGGTTAAACCTGGGCTAACTTATAATTCGAGATAATACATTTGGTTTTTTCCTGCAAACAAGGATCATAAAATAAAATGTTGTATATAATAATACATCGGTTTTATATAGCGCTTTTTTTGGACACTCAAAGACGCTTTACATGTCATTATTCATTCACTCCACACACTGTGGTGATGAACTTCTACTGTAGCCACAACTGCCCTGGGGCACACTGACAGAAGCAAGGCAACCAGTATGTGCCATCGACCCCTCCGACCACACACCAGACTCATTCTAGGCAATGGGGGTGAAGTGTCTTGCCTAAGGACACAACGGAAGTTTGGCACTTTACAGCCCCAGCCTGATGCCCCACTGTGGTGTTCCCAGAGGTTAAGTGTCTTGCCAAGGACACAACAACAGCAGACAGAGGGAGTCGATGGTGAAAGTCTAGAGGTGGGCTCGAACCTTCTGGCTCAAAGGCCAATGCTCTACCAACTGAGCTACCTCTACTCCTCTTATACTGTATACCAGACCATGCCATTCAGTCATCATGGTTTTAAAAGGTTTTCTCTTGCATACAGCTGAGAAATGGTTGGCTGAGTGAGGCTGGTCTTCCCTGAATTGCATGCAACTGTTTTGAGATTGAACTTTGCTGGATTTTCTAACATTTTTTTTAAACATATTAGCAGTTTTAAAGTTTGATACCCTAGCTTTACTCTGTATATTTGAGTTAATATTATCCATGACACATTACAAACTGAATGTGGGAACTGGATAGCAGACTTGACCCACCTCATTTGGAGGATTATAAAAGGTTGGTACATGGAGGAGTGTTTAATTAACCTGTGGCGCTGTGTCCCAGTGCTGCTTGGACCTGGACAGAAGAGTGTTGAAGCTGGCGGGCTGCAGTGAAGAGCTGCCTTTCCTTCACATCTCATTCGAAGCTCCGCAGAAACACGACTCCAACAAAAACCTGTGATCCTCAAACACGACCGCTCACCTTTGTGTGAGTTTAGTCCTGGAAGAAAGAAAGTCTCATCGCCAAAACGTTGTGATAGCCTTTGTGTTCCGTTTACAGTGTGGTTTTTGTACAACAGCTTTGGCTTTAAAATCTCAACAGTACGACGGAAGGCTGTTACGAGTAATGCCTTTTCAAATCCAAAACTGTTCTTTGAAACCCGAATAATCTTCACTGTAGTTAAAATGACTCTGCATTTGGACAATTGATGATTCAAACAAACTAAATTATAAATTATATTTCTTTATTTTCTCTCTCAATGGATAATGCATCACCAAGATATCAATTGCTTGAGCTATCTTTTTTATAATTACTAACTTTTCTCAAAACCTTCAATTTTGGTTTGCATAAAGTTCTCACAACTGGGACACATCTCTGTCTTGCTGTTTTTGTTCAAACCTTGAACACATCTCTCAATAGCACGTTATTTTCACATCATGTCTCATTCATAGCAGACAGGATGCAGAATGTTGACCACAATGCAGGAAAAGTCACACTTTTGTCGGCAACAGATCAGTCAAAAGTCATGAAACAATAAACTCAAAATGCACAATTTTGAATGGAGGAGATAAGCGTACCCTCACATGCAATATACAGTATGTAAAAAAGAAAAAGAAAAAAAAGGGCAAATCCAAGTTCCAAGTATAGCTTCAATATGCAGCAAGAAGAAATGGAGCAAAACAAAAGAGGAAAATTATAAATTAAACTAAAAACAATCTGTATTACAGCTGATCAAAAGTTTTAAGATGGGATAAGATAAGATAGACTTTATTTATCTCACACTGGAGACATTTACAACCACTACTCCATACAAACCTGGCAACCCCCTCAACACACAAACCCAAGTGGTGAAAATATTTTTAAACTTATTATTTGCCGTCTGTCCCCAAATTATCTCAACTGGTTTTAGATCAAAGAAACACGCCAGGTCCAGAAGAGAGTTGTTATTCTCCATAGACGTCTCTGTTCCTGTGGGGGCTGTGAGCTGTAGTGTTGTGTGAGTTATTACCACAGACGAGGGTCTCAGTCATGATGCTCTCTGCAACATCTGGAGCCAACAGCCGTTTGACGCTCTGTACTTTCTGAAGCTTCATTGTTCCACTCAAGGAAAAGGTTGTTCAACTACCCAACCACCTTCGAAAAGGAAATGGTTTTTGCAGTCATGACTCCTACTGAATCCACATTTTGATCAGATCGTGGTCCGAGACTCTCCCATTTCTTCTTGTTGCTGCTAAACTTGAAACCCTGCTCCATCCAACCATGCAAAGTTTTTTTTGTTACTACATAAGGCTACCTCTAGTTACAATACATTTAAATAATCTGTTTTTTACCAAGGCCTTTCAATATAAATCTCAGTTCCTTTCAAAACACAAAGAAATGAACAAATGGAGAACATTTGTATTATTTCATCCAAAGTCACTTGTTTAATAATACTGATAATAATTTGATCATTTTAAAGGCAACATTCCAGCTGCATGTCTATGTGGAGTTCTGCCATTGTACCGGTCTGCATGTTTGTGAACCAGTGTGACTGGTAAGAGGCTGTAAGGTGCTGTTTGTGTCGTTCTGTGAGAGAGTTTATTGAACTTTCCATATTTTGAAAATCATATCAAAATCAATTGTAAATAAGAAAAAAAATACATAATATTTGAACAGGTTTTTGAACTGTCAAATCCAAATCGTTATCAAGTTATTAATCCTCATCAGCCATTCCTCTGTAAAATTGGTGGGTCAAAAAACATCTATTGTTAATTCATATTCTTCAGACTATAACTGTTTATATTGTACCAAACAGCTTTGAGAGAAGCTCATGTTGCTGTGAGGTGTCAGGTTTACAGTCAAACTACGAGTATCGAGTCCCTGGTATGAGATTGTTCTAAACCGGTTCTTGTTAAAATGCATAAGTGATGAGTAATCCAGTAATGAGTATCTAAAGTTTGCTTGCTTTTAAACACTTATGGATACTGAACAGGAGTTAAGATGAACCGTACAAAGCAACAGTAAAAACAGCTTGATACTGTGCGAGAGTTAAAAGTGGGATTAATCAACAAGTACATTGTTGATCAGTATAATTTAGTAATTTTTCACAATAATGAAGTATTAGATGACCACTCCTTCAACAATCAATCAGAAGTGTTTCTTTTCTTATAACAAATTGTGCCAAAGCAGTGTGTGAGATGGATTTCTTAGATAATGTTGTGCTTTTCCTTCTCACTGCAAATTAATATATCTATTGTGTAATATAATAACTCTAAATAAAGATTTATTAATAACTATTTCCTGCCTCACCCACCAATATGAGACTATCATAACAAAGCTCTACATCACGGTGTGCAACAAAAGCCTTGTGCTTTGACAGTGTCACCATTGATTCTCATGTTCTTGCTTAAGTTGCTTCTTCATGAATGTAGTGTGTGTGGAGTTGTGTGGCTGAAGAATATTTTTTGTGTTTCTGTTCCTCTAAAGAGTATTTTCTTTGCCTAAATTAAAATGTATTCTGTCTAGTCTTGTTGGTCTGTTTTGTATAAAAAAATCCACAACACTGAAAAAATAAAATAAAAGCACATTGAAATGCCCATAGCTGCCTCACATTCAGACATCACGCCTGTAAGAATCTATGGAAGACAAGCCGTTTTAAGGAGAATTCTTGAAACCTCTGCTCTATTAGAAACTGAAGTATACGAAAACATCTCTTTATATTAGTATACATTAATTTAATAATTGTAATGCTTGTATCAATGCTAGATTTACATAAGAAATCCCTTAAAAATGGACACAACACAGCATGTGTCAAATCTAACAGTAATCTTGAGTTTGGGCGAATTACTGGCAGATACCAGACACAAAGATGATAAATGAAATTGGATCATTTTCATGAATAACTACAGGTGTCCATAGAGAAATGAGAATCAGATTTATATACATGGTTACTTAAATGCACTTTAAGACTTTCCAACACTTTTTTGATGATATTTTGAAATAGTTGAGGTACGCTAAGTGTAAAACAATAGGAAAATGATAAACAATAGGAGGTAAAGTTCAGGGAAATTTTACAAATGCAGAACAAGTGCAGGCAAATCCAATCATTTCCCTCATTTAGATTTAATATGGTTCTATTCACCATCTTTATGGACAGAATTTCTAGGCGCAGCCAGGGGCCGGTGGGGGTCCGGTTTGGGTCCGGTTCGGAGACCACAGGATTCCATCTCTGCTGTTTGTGAACGATATTGTCCTGTTGGCTCCAAAAAACCAGGACCTGCAACATGCAGACCCCTGCCTTGCCTTCTCCAGGTGCAGGGGGCAGAGGTCCCAAGTATCTTGAGGTCTTGTTCACAAGTGAGGGAGCGTGAGATTGATGGGCCGATCGGTGCAGCATTGATGCTGTCGCTGGATCGTTGTGGTGAAGAGGGAGCTGAGCCGAAAAGCTCTCCATTTACCGGTCAATCTTCGTTTCCTCACCTCTGGTCATGAGCTTGAGCTTCTCCACGTCGTGAGGAACCAGTTGAGGTGGCTTGGGCATCTGTTCAGGATGCATCCTAGACGCCTCCCTGGGGAGGTGTTCTGAGCACCTGCCACCAGGAGGAGACCCCGGGGAAGACCCAGGACACGCTGTCTCCCAGTTGGCCTGGAAAAACCCTCTGGGCGTCTCTTCTTAGACTGCTGCCCCGCGACCTGGAAACGGATGAAGCGGAAGAAAATGGATGGATAGATTTGATGTACATTATATTGTCCTCCTGAAATGAATGGGTTTTATGTCAGAAACAGTTGAGGTTCTGTCTTTGTTAGGAAACTTTGCAGAGACCACATCCTGTTTGGTTGCTCACGCAAATCCAATGCTATTTAATTTCATCACATACAATAACTCACATGAGACATCTATGCTTCATTCTGTAATTTTTTTCCATCCAAAATGTCTTGTGTGTTTTAAATTTAAACAAGTCTCAAATCATGACTGTCCTTAGACTTAGACCCTCTGACATCAACAAGAAATGTGACAAACCTTGGGGAGGCCCAGAACTCATAGCTATATAACGAGGACCGAAGAGGCTCCCAGGCGAGGAGGGTGCAGGCCGGGAGAGGACCAGTCCAGAGGTTCAGGTCGAGACCCCAAACAAAGTATCCAAACTACTGTGCACTTTGGAACGATCATTCAATTTAATTTTACCTGTAGTCCTTATGCCTTGTAATTATTTGTGTAGTATAACATATTATTGTTGTTATTATTTTACCATATTTAAATGTCACCCTAAAAAGAATTGCATCTCAATTTGAACTGGAAATCAGTGTGGGTCTCATCAAAGAACCTGGATCATCAGCAGATCCATTTGAACTTTAGTTATAGGTTTGTTTTTGCAAGGAGTTTTACTTCTTGTAAAAAGTCTGATTCCCAACTAAACCAATCCAAATTGTATTCTGTGGATACCTACTTCCCATGGTGTGGAAGAGAAAGTGTTAACAGTTTGCCATGTCTATTATCAACTTCATTTCCCAGTTCCCTCGTCCTCTGATTAATCAACGTGAAACTCATGACATATTCTGGCATCTGAGGGGTGCAAAAACAATTGTTGCAAACCAATGCAACCCCCTCACTCACTGTTTCACCACCAATGGCTCATGTCAATGGAAACCAAATCATTCTGAGATGTACAGATTGTTGTCCTGGATTTGTGTGTTTGCTTTGAGAAAACGTATGTAAGAAAAAGAAGAATTGAATCTCAATCATTTTCAATATCCTTTGCCAGCAATTTTCTGTATCTTCGTGTCTTTCCTCCTCCAACACCAGACAGACTGAGCCACGACACAAGAAAATGTATAAATACCCATGTCTTTTTGCCCTCAGTGTCTAAAAACAGCAGCTGTTGATGCATGCACCAGACAGACAGCCCACTGCAGAGGAACTCGCTGGGAATTACCCTCGAGCTTTCTAAACGGCATAAGGAGAATATTGATAAGCAGTGAGCAGATTTTTTCTTTTTAACAACATTTAGGTAAGCTTTTAGCAATATAGGCAAGGCAAGTTTATTGGTAGAGCAGAGCCTACACTAGAACATCAAAAAAATTATATATATACTCAGAGTGCATTAAATGAGAGAAGATAGAAACCTTCAATTGTATGCATAGCTAAAAATAACTTTATCATGGATTTGCATGTTCCCAGAGATGAAGCCTTTCTCACGTTTTCAGGAAGACTGTTCCAAATTACAGCTGCATAAATCTGAATGCTGCCTCCCCATGATTAGTCCTGACCATAGGCACTAAGCAGGAGGCCAGTCCCTGTGCTCCTCAGAGTCCGAGTTGGTTCATATGGCACTAACATCACATTAGATGTACCTTGTTTGCGAGGTCACACAGAGCTGCTTTTAAAAATGTGCATTCATTTCAAAACGCACTTTTCAGGACACTCAAAGACACATGCCCTGGGGCACACAGACAGAAGCAAGGTAACCAGCATGTGCCACCACCAACCATTCTAGACAATGTGTGTGAAGTGTCTTGCCCAAGAACACAATAGCAGTTTGGCATTGTACAGTCACCTCACTGTGACAATTGGTGTTCCCAGAGGTCTCCCATCACAGTACTAACCAGGCTATGCACTGCTTAGCTTCCAAGGTCTGACAGGATCTGGCTTTAACATGCAGGTATGGCCACGAGTCATTGTAAACATAGAATAGGACTAAAATAATCCTGAGCCTTTTTCTCAATGATTAATAAAATGCCAAGCTATAAACTGGAAGACCTGAAATATTTATTGGAATATTTTTCATGACTTTACATGTACTTGGCATTGATCTACAATCCTTATAAATCCTTCACTCTCATGCTCACACACGCACTGGCACAAGTGGAGAAAGTTAAGACATGAATGTTTCAGTCATCTCGCTCTTATCTCTTACAAAATTCAATGAACTGTTTGCATGTTTCCAAGAACTTCTTAGTTTTAAGCGCTTAAACATTGAATTAGTGAGCATGACAGTACTGAAAGTAATTAAGTGTGAATAGTAACTTGTCACGACCATCTGACCTGTAATCTACTTACTGTACAGTATGTTGGACATTCCATACAGAGCAAATGCATCAAGGAGGTAAGTAATCTTTATCTATATATGCTTTGTAGAAACAGTTCGTCTGCTGCTAAATCAAATTACCAATTAGGAAGTGGGCTGTTCGCACAGGCATACCCACCCCCATTCGATTCCGTTAAATGAGTCAAGGATATGTCTTACCTGATCTGTTTGGCATGACAGAGAGTCCGAGGTGGAAGCCCCCTCACTGGGTTTTGTCTATTTGGAGGAGTGTCATAATCACCTGGTGCTGTGGACAGCCTTCAATGTATTCTATTCAATGTCTATTTTATTGTGTTTTTGATTTGTTTGCACTTATTTTGTTCTTGGAAAAATATGAGGAAACCACCTCCACCCATTCATTTTCCACCCCCAAAATGATAAAATGTGTTTCTTTAAATAAAATACCAGTAACTTCACCTTAAAAAACAAAAATAGCTTTTTGTCGCAATCTTAGACTTGAAAATTAAGATAATGCTATATTTACTGTATGTTATACAGTATGTTCTGTATGCTCAGCAGGCTTAGAGCATAAAAACATACCTTGAAAAAAGTGTAAACATAATAAATCTATGGATAAAGGTAAATATTTTCCCCAGCCATGGAAATATTCACATTCAGTACAATACCGCACAGCAATATAGACTGAACCGTAAGCTTAAAGAATGGCTATAGGTGCATGTATAATACAAAGAAATGGGTGTGTTCACAGGAAAGTGTCAATTATAGTATCTGGACTTTTAAAAAAGGAATCATTTTAAGCAATAATCAATACAAATGACCCATGGAAATTGTGTAACGGATGTGATGATTTCCGTCTTTTTTTCTAATAAATTATTGTCTGGTTTAATTACAAATGTATTGGTTCACTATATGATAGTAATCACTCTGTTTCTGTTCTATGTCTAACAAACGTCGCAGCTCATTCCATCAAAGGATAAACAGAGCCACTGTAGAAAACTTGACTAATGAATAAAAGTTATCTTCTACCAACTACTAATAGACAAAGGAGGTATTTGGATTAAAGAGATACATTAATAAATCTTCTGATTATTAAAATATTTTTTTTTGCCTTCTGTCGCAATGTTGTACCCTTTAGTGTAAACAATCCCAAATAGGCTCCAACAATCCAACCATAGTCACCAATTCAGATAAATGTGAACTTAAGGTGGCAAATATAGGGGAAATATTGCAACTTTTTCTTCAAGTATAAATTTATTGTGCTCTGGCTTTAAAAGAATACAGAACAAAATATACTCTTTTACACAAGAAATACAGATCTAAAAACAAACGATCAATGTTGAAACCACATCTTTCATTACGCAATTATGCTCAATAATACGGCCAAGTCTCAAGAAATAAAGAAAAGTGAATATTTCAGAGCAGGCAAATGAGCCCTTACAAATCTTTCTTTAGAAGACCTCTAATGGAGCAGCGCCTCAGGTCTGGCTGGTTTATGTTTACCCTAAGGCGCACACAAACATTTATATTTTATGAGCGAAGGAGAGGGAGATATTGGATCCTCCAGTTGGAAACAGCGGGTGATTTCCTCAATAAAGCAAAGCACACTCTACAGGCACTTTGTTGCTCTGCTAAAAACAACACTGTCTTGCTTCAAAGACAATCCTGTTATTAACCAAACTGTGTGGATGGAATACTGAGCATTTTAATCTGCAGAAAAAGGCCATTAGATACACAGCATTCAACATTTTGACCATATTGTCTGTTTTTGAAGCTGGTATGGAGGCAGCAGTGAAAACATAGTCACAGACCGTTAGCCCCATTGTTAAAGAGTGTTAAATACAGCACGGCACACACGTATCATAATAATATTAACAGTGAGTGCAACAAATGACAGAGTGGTTAAGCTCACAGTCTTTTGATTAGCTTCTACAAATCTTCATTCTTGTAAAGCACGTTTGCCACCAGAGATTTGACTGCTGCAGAGTCCTCCGCATCTGTGGAGCAAAGACACAAATACTGTATTAATCACATTATCATACTGTAGCCAATTTCAGAAGCTTAAGAAAATTCTCTATAAGTTAATTAATATTGGGAGATTGGCAAAATGTTCATATTCTAGAGTCTATGCACCACTACAATGCATTAGAAATTAAATGAGCTCCAACTGCAACATATTTTGAATAAATCTGGTGAATCAGTTTTGATTAGGGCTGAGACGACTTTTTTTTATGCCATTACATTAGATATTTTATTGGGCTTTTTAGTGAACACAACGTGACAGGCCACTGCCGGTCTTTAATGTCCAAACACATTCGACCAATCATGGTTTATGAAATGGGCAGCTTAGGGCAGAGATCCAGATCTTTGCAAATGTTAATATAATATATGTAAAATTGTGTGATTCTCGCTGGTCAGGCAACCGTTTCTGCATTCAAATGAAGGCATATTCCTTTCCTGGAATAGTTTTTCATCGCTCTGAAGCACATGAAGAGTTTTGGCAGAATACAGAACGTTTAGTACATTTGGAAGGCAAGTTTATTTATATAGTAGGTTCAAAGGGCTTAATGAAACACGATAGAAACAATCAACAAGGCATTCAAATCATGAATAATCACAGTACATTAACACAATCCTAAACATAAACAGAATGGTTTTTAACATAGTCTATAAAAGCCTGTCTCATATTTTCAGGAACAATGTTCCAGATGCAAAAAATGTGAAATGCTGTCTCTCCGTGGAAGCCCTGACTCTGGGCACCAGCAGGAGGCCAGTCCCCATGTCAAGAAGTGTGAATTGATTATGTCACCATTGATAACTTAATCATGCCATTACTCTACACAACGAACAACAATAAGTGAATAACAATGACAATCATTCAAAACAACATAATGTCCCAGCCCTAGTTTTCTTGTGCCCCACACTTCTTGATGTCTCTCAAAAAGGCTACACTGGTCACTTATTCACTCGCTGTTGGTGGTGAGTGATGAAGACATGAGCTTCTCCGACCACCACCATTTGCTCACTAGATTCATACTGTTGCATGTTTTAATTAATGAGGAAAACTGGAATACCCAGAAAACATAAAATACAATAAAATGAGTACAAAAACAATACAAGGCACAATGTCTCTGTAGAGAAGACATTCCCATGTTGTGATGGAGAACAGTCCTCATGATGACTCTTTTAGTCTCGAGCGCAGAGGGAAGGAGACTTTTAATGACATTTCTGCCATGGCAACACAGCTCACACGTAGAGCAGACATGTTAGACATTATTTTCTGTACGAATTTTGAAGTTCAGTAGCAACGTGCGTGCTTTAATACACCCACAGTCTATGCATCCGAGACTTTCCCAGTCTCCGTGTTCTCAATTCTCCCCGCCCCCTCTATATGCCCACCTTCTATATTTCCCTTTAGACAGCATCTTCCACAAGGGGGTTTGTTAGGCAACGTCTGTGAAATCTTAGTCGAAAGAAACACATGGGTTTGGTTCATGAATGATTCACAAAGGTGACAGGGACACTGTCACCAGGGGTCAGATGAATCTGCGTAACATGCCATCTTACAAAACACATGGACACAGGAAGTCTACAGGAAATAACATTATAAAAGAGTATATGATTAAACAAGTTGAGTTAACCCTTTAGGCGTCAACGTTTTTTCAGAAATGTGAACAGAAATAAATAAAATAAACCTAGAAGGAAAATGAAGGAAAGCATTTGTGGAAAGCCAGATTGTTGTACAGAATATTATTGGATTCAGGAGTTCATGCAGAAATTCTCCTACATTGGGTATTGGACGACAGTTTAGAGTCTGATAAGCCGAAACTTATGGAATAGTGTTTCTGGATCTGTTTTGGCTTTTGTATTTGTAGTGTTTTACAAAATACTAGGATTTTAATTGCATTTGAATTTTGTACATTACAAACATGTGTGTTCAATTTGTCATTTAGTCATCAGTATGCAATATATAAATAAATAAATACATTTGAAACAGAAAACTTGCATTAAAGTAAATTTGTCACTCACCAACTCCAAGAGCTTTGAGATGACCTTTGAACTCTTGCTTCTCGTCCAGGATACGCAGAAGATTAGTCGACTCCATTCGCTCAAGTTCAACTTTCCAGTAAATGTAGATTTTGTGGTTGAAGCTGACATAAACTAAACAGGGACTGTTTTTACCCTCCTTACACGTGTACTGACCTGTGGTAGATAAATAAACATTACAAATACTGCAGTCCTCAGAAACAAACTCTTACACTTTTAGTAGTCGTTAGTGCTTTAGTTTATTTCAAGCACACAATAAACAATGGTTTTAAACACTAAAAGTTAAAGAAAGAAAATTCTCAGCAATTTGAAAAGGAGTGGAATAAAGTTAAACACTTATTTATTCGCACCCTCTCTTTCAATGCCTAGTATTATTTGTCTGAGTCAATCACTTTTGTACATTTTGAGGCAAATCATCACGCTTCGCCCTGTATGGAATTTGCAAATAGGTCTCTGTTAATCTACAAGACCTGTACATTTCAAACATTATTAGAATGTAACAAAAATGTGGTGAGTTTGCAAATAATGTATTTTTAACCCAGACCATGAGTAAAGTGTAGCTTGTTACAAGTGAAACTCAATATTGCCCCCTTCTGGTCAAATACCTGCACAGAAGGCGTTGACGTTCTCATCAAACTGGAACCGCACCACTGTCCGATTATGGTCGATTATGTATGTTTGACCGTCCCATGCACAAGCAACTACCTCCTCTCTGCCATCCCCCTGTAAGAGAACAGGCAAAAACACAACATTTGGAATTGTTTCTCTCACAACAATATCTTGAAAATGTTGCTTTTCAGTCATTTAAAACTCACAGTTACGTCCAACTTCTGCAGGGCAAAGAGCTGGTGGTCGACCTGGACGGACCACAACAACTGCTCTGAACTGTCCATTAATTTTAAAGTTCCTATTAACATAAGTTCATATTATTTTAGTAAAAAAATAAGGTGTGTGATCCAGAGCACTTACCGTCTAATGTACAGAGAGCAAAGAGACCACATTTGGATGATTCTTCTTTTGAACCTTTGCTTATGCTGCCAATGAGGTGAGTAGACACGTTTTTGTTATGAATTCTGGCAGTAGTTAAGTGCAAAATGACATCTCGAGAAGGTCCTTCGCTGTGAACAAAAATGAGACAAGATAAAATTATTTGTCCTGCAGTGGGGAAATTTCAATGTTGCAGTGCATAGAAGAGCGCACAGGGAGTACACAAAATATACAATATAAGTAGATGCTATGTTTCTGAGCTAGCTGTAAATGCTTCAATAACAATATATATATAGTACAAAGTTATGTACATATAGGGCAGGATAATAAGTAGATAAAGTGACATTCAGTGGGCATTCTGAAACTGCAGTATTACACAGTGCACATGATTACAGAATTTAGTATTTGCTGGTTAATAACATGTACAAGCTCAGAAGTTTTCGTTTTACAGTCTGACGGCAGCAGGAAGGAAAGACCTGCGGAACCTCTCCTTCACACAGAGAAATTATCACCAAATAGAGTACCTTCCAGGAGTGGCTGGAGCCTCTTCTTCAGAACCTGAGGAGTCTTGCTGTGTCCAGGTACAAAGCAGAATAGCATAACCACATCCCGGCTGAGAGACCATGAGCTCTGGTAAACCCTCTGGACCAGGGTTCACTGACAGACTATCCACCTGTAACAGGAGCAGGACTTTTCCACTGATATAATATTTTGTAAACTACATTAAGTTATTAAATTACCTGCCCATCAAGGAGCCATTTCTTGAGAAGAACGAGTTGTCCAGATCCTAGGTCCGAAGCATCAGAGGGCTCCTCCCATCGAAAAGCTCGCACCACTCTGTCTGTGTAGCCCACGACCAGCTCACAGCGGCCATCACCGTCTGCCCTCAGGAGCAGAGCAACTTTAATGTGACACTGGGGACAGATGTGTTGCCTTTAATGTATTTACCTATGTCGCTAATTAGGATGACCTTGGTGTTGGCAGGTATGTGTTGAGTGAAGAGGGGCCTCTGGTCCTCAGAAAGTGCTTCATGTTGACTTGTAGAATCTGCTTTGTACGTTGATGACAGGTCAAAGAGGTGGAACCAGCCCTCTGCACCCACAGCTACCACAAAGTTCTGAAAATAATAAATGACTTTAAAATGATGACACAAAAGCCTCCTTCCATAGTGAGTGTGCTAACATACCTTCCCCTTGTTGCATACATCTCCAATTGCGACGCATGTGAGCTGGAGGAACACAATGTCTGATATGAAATATTCTGTATTGTCATCTATTGATATGTATATTTATACTGTTGAAATGAAAACAAGACACTCACCATGCCCACACAACTCCTGGTGATGAAAGGCTTGGAGTCATCATACTTATACACAAACAACTTGCCGTTTGTGTCCCCAACAACCAGCTCATTTAACTATCACAGAAAGATAAAACATGTGGTTGGATTGTTTTGTGTCAATTAGAAGAAGAGTATTCTCACCGAGTCGTTGTCTGCATCCCCGAGGCAAATGGCCCGAGGGAAAAGGGTTCCCGTGAAATCCAAACTAACTCTTTGGACGTAATTGAGGGACCTCATTTTCCAGGCTCCTCAGAACAACGAAGAGTGAGGTTCCAGGTACATGAGGTGAACATAACGACCCAAGACTGTATATATATTTATATAATTATATATGAACGAAATTACAACACATCCATGATATGAACGCGCTAGAACGTTTCCTTGTAAACACTGACACGTGACATGTCTTCTTCAGCTTTACTGTCTGGATCCTTTGAGCTACACTGCCGCCCCCTGCTGGGCTAGAGTTTTTACTGCGTTTGTTATGGTCCAAATACCACTAACAAAAATAAACATGCATTATATTACGTTTTCTGGCATGTCTCAATGTAGTTCACAGTTATTCTTAAAATAAGGCAGCTGATGCAGTCCTATCTTAAAAATGTAGTCACAAAGCTCATTTATCTATAGACCATTCTGTGGAATATGGACTGTGGAATCATGAAAATGTTTAGTTTGAATAATTTTATGTATTCATATTTTGGGTCAATTATAAAGAGAAGAACACAGACAGACTCACATAAGACTCACAAAAGCACGTACAGATAAGGGTAAACAGCAGAGTATCCAGAAATTTTTCACATTTGGAACAGAGACAGGATAATAATGAATACATATAATTTATAGATACAAATATGGAGCCTTACAAATATTAAAAAATTGAGTATGAGTCAATATATTTTAAAATAAAATAAAATGTGTATAAATAAATGCACCACATGTAACTACTGATGCTGTGGAAAGAATTGTGGCATTTAGGTCTGAATATCTAATCTCTATATCAATTTTAGTTAATATAATAATGTGTATTATTTTCATTCATTCGACAAAATGGTGCTTCAAAACATATTTTTTGTGGGTAATTTGAACATCTCCAAAAGGCTGATGTTCCAGGTGCATATGGTGCATCCTTCAGAAGCCTCTAATATGCTTACTTTAACTTTACTATACTTTTGAGTCCAAAACATAGTTTACATTAAACGTGTAGTAAATTACATTGACATATGTTTGGTTTAGCCACAACTATCATGTTTTAATCAAAGGATAATTGTAAAAGAATGAGATAATGTACTAATATTGAATATTACTTTGATTTCTGGACGTAATACAGTAAATTATACCAATTTTCACTTTTGCAATGAGTTACACAACTGAGTTACTTAAATAAGGTTAACACACTGATTGGAAGTTGTGCGATGAATGCTCAAAGATTGTGAACTCACAATATGTCTCCGCATCATGTTTAAAAGAGAAAGACCAGATACAATTCATGGCGTTCACTGTTCATGCAGTCCTTGTCCACAACATACACCATATTTGAATGTCCTTTTTTGTTCCCTGTCCTGTATCGGAAAGCACTCTTTGAGTTAGTTGTGTATGAATTGTGCGTCAACAAAGTGTATTGATTACGTTAAATTGTAATTTATATCGAGATAAATCAAATAGATATGATGACTGTGAGCATTTTCAGTTAAATGTTTTTTTAGTGGCAGGAGCTAACTTTTTCACCACCAGAGGTCAGGCGTGAGCCATCACTGACCCAGCGCTGGTCCAAACTAGGTCGACTCTTTTGGCCTAATGAACCTGAACTTTATTCTGTATTTTTGTCCATACGCTTTTCTTTAAGCCTATAACATATTCAGATATATAAAATGAACTATTCCCAAAGTTTTTTCAGCGTTGGCCTATTAAAAAAAAAAAAAAAAAATAACACACACACACACACACACATTTCAGGTAATCCCGTAGATTATTGAGAAAAATCTACTATTTTATTTCTGTGAATATTAAATTATCTCAATAACCTAAAAATAAAAATGATCCACAGATTTGTGTTCAATATACAATATTTGTATTTTTAAAACATAGTTTTACTGCTATTTAACTGTGCACTACAACTGATTGGGACGAATGGGTCTTTCACTTTCTTAAAAAAGGCTACTTTACAAAATCACTCAAAGAAAAAGTGAAGCGCACCCTTTCGCCTCTGGAGGAGCGCAGTGGTGAATCTACTCACACAACACTAATTGGACTTTTGGAGCGCACTGTAGGGCAGGATAGGTTTCAGAAAAGCCATGCGATGGCAAAGGCTGTAGCGATGAATAGAACCCCCACTCTCTTTTCAAACTCTTGCTGGGGGCCAAAGACAGAGCATCGAGAGCGTAGGAGGAGGAAATTGTTTGGGGCTTGTTCAATGCAAGTTTCGTTTGAATGGTTTTGCAATCCAGAAAAAATACTTCACATTTTATTAGACGACAATTCCAGGCTCCATTTGAGAGAGAGACGGACAGGGTCGTGCGCATGCACTTTTCTAGGAGTTCAATAGTTAAATAAGATCAGCACGAATAGTTCATGAGCACGCACATACACGCACACACGAACGCAAACACGCACACACACACACACTCGCTCTCTCTCTCATACACACACTCACACCTGTATACTGTACAACACAAAGCAGATTGGATTGGGAGTTTGCTCATGCTGCTGAAAGACGTCCTTTTTATTCTGCAATTTTCAACGGATATGTGAGGCAGCGTCGACGCTGAAACCATATCGGGTGTGTCAAATCATATACAAAGCCTGCCTAAAGAGATCTAGCATTTCAGTTCCGCCTGTACAAGGCTGATGATCTGTTCTAAGTGTAGCATTTCTCCCTCTGCACAATGTGTAATGAAAACTTTGTGACGATAAACTGAACAACAGTGGCCAAAACATGTAGGCCTGTTTACGCACAACTTTTCGAGAAGAAAATCAAAAGTGTGTGATAATGTTATAATGTATAGTCAAAATTTGTCAAAATATAACAAATTCCAAAGAGTTTACTTGGTTGTAGGCTGATGGTAAGCCTTGCCAATAGGATTCAGGCTATAGTGCTTTAGTGGCACGCGTCCGTCGTGCGCACCACGGACCGTCAGGAGCCCTATAGGTGAATCCACGCGACCAGTGGGCGTGGCCAACGGACAGGCCAGGCCGATTGAAAAGCAGTGGTCGTCTGTGGGGTCCCATGAAAGCGTTGAGGAGCCCGCGACGGAACAGGCCAGAGCTCAGCCCACTAAAAACATCCAAGCCTCCGTCAATAGATCCCCACGTGAAAGGCACGAGCGAGACGCACCGCCCAGAGACTTGGCATAAGAGACTGAGGAATGGAGTTTGCTGCCAAGATGGAACTTAGCAAGAGCCAGCAACAGCTGATGCCATCAGTGTGTTTTATTTCTACAACGACACAAAGCATCCCGCTCAGTCCAACCGGCAGCACCAAGTCCGCATGTAAGCAGTCCAAGAGGCAGCGCTCCTCCTCTCCAGAGCTGCTGCGCTGCAAGAGGAGACTCAATTTCGCGGGTTTTGGTTACACGCTTCCACCTCAGCAGCCGCACGCAGTTGCGCGCAGGAACGAACGAGAGCGCAACCGAGTCAAACTGGTCAACAACGGGTTTGCAACACTGCGTGAGCATGTGCCCAACGGTGCAGCCAATAAGAAGATGAGTAAAGTTGAGACGCTCCGGTCTGCGGTGGAGTACATCCGTGCGCTCCAGCAGCTTCTGGATGAACACGACGCAGTGAGTGCCGTTTTTCAAGCTGGCGTGATGTCTCCCACAATGTCACAAGGATACGCCAATGATATGAACTCTATGACCGGGTCGCCTGTGTCTTCCTACTCGTCAGATGAAGGCTCTTATGACCCACTAAGTCCAGAGGAGCAGGAACTTCTGGACTTTACCAACTGGTTCTGAGCATTGAATCCAGTTATGCAGAAGTTAAATAAAGACGAGTTGGTCCATTTCTGTGCGTCATGGGATGCAATAAAGATGCCAACAGTGAGTGATGTATTTATACTTTGGTCTGGCCCGGTCCATTCAGCAAAGGACTTTAAAGTTGCAACACAAGGACATCAGAGATCAGCGCCAAAGGATTTATGGATCTCGAGCCCTGCCAGCGTGGGACTCTGCAATATAGTTTTCACGACAAACTATAAACCCCCAAAGTGCGCTATTGTGCAGGAATGCATTATTTAACTTGTGCTCTTTTCTAAACCAATCCCATGCTCGTATAACACTATGTCTACACAGATGCTTCCAAGTCACGAATTTATAGAATGTAAATTACGCAGTTTTTGAGATATATTAACATATTTTTGTATCAAAGAGATTTATTCGTAGATGTTTTGTACACTACTTTTGTAAATAGTTTGTCTATATTGTGCAGTTGTTGCTCCTGCCTATTTTATTTCCTGGATCATACACCTGATGTTTCCAGTTGGAGTTTGATACTCCCCAAATTATTATAGCACCGACGTGTCTTATTTAATAGAAAACCAATGTTTTATATAATGTCATGAGGATCAATGATCAAATATGCAGCTATTGTCCAAACAGAAAGCTTTGCCCATAGGCCTACGGTTATAAGCCTGTTGCCATTTTCTACTGTGCTCGCATTACATGGTCAAATAAATTATATTTTCTTCACAAAAAATAAAATAACTTTTCAACAAACTATCATTGTGTTTCCTCTTTATGATGTGTTATTTGTCCAAATAAGACGGGATGCTCATGGTGGTCTTGCGTGGAGTTTGAGACTGCAAATGATGTCTGGCAGGTCTGTGGGCGGTAACAGTCCGGCGCGTGTCTGCTCTAATGAGTGAATGTGGCTTTGGTTCAGACGGAGACGCGCAGCAGATGGCGTGTGCCTTCTGACGGTGGCGCGCATTATATATATATTTAACCTGAATTTACCTACACTAGTATTCATTTAATCTAAAATCTAGAAAAATAATTATCAATAATCTAAAAAAAAAGATATCACTGCAAGCATATGGATCCAATTATAAAAGTCTGTACACTATGATTTTAATTTCAATATTCAAAATGAACCCACTTTCGCACAAACTATTTACTAAATAGTTTCTGACATTCAACAGTTTTGGGAAAAAGTCACAAGATATGAATCATCTTTATTTGGCGGCTACATTCTCCATCACCATAAATCCAACACTAAAGCAACATTTCTTTCCATGGAAAATATAGACACATTGAAGAATTGGATAAAAATGATCTCATAACAATAAAAGTACATTTATAAAATCCAGCTCAAATCAAGAGTGAAGATGAAAACACATATAATCACAAAAAAAGTCAGTCATAGGCAAAGCTGAACATAACAGTTAGTTGGATAAAAAGACATGAGACACACCCGTCAACACACAACGACACACTCATTTTTGTCCCCCCCATGAACTTCCCACCCCCATGCATCTACCTCTGCTTTTACAGCAATTGCAGAACTATAAGCGGCAACTTTGGTCTTTAAACTTTAATGTTGTAGTGCAGGAAAGAATTTGGACACCGCTCTATCAGCTCTTGTTTATGTGAACAGTCGAAACACATCTAGTGGAGGGTGAGGATAAAGATTACATATATGTGCTTGAGTGTGATTGAATAACTTTGAGGATAACTACTATTAAACAATATGTATATAAATGGATCATCTGTCTTTTGTGGTGGTACTGCGATAGCCAACACATCATGTCAGGTAACAAAAACAGAATCTTGTTTTCTCACAGTTTATTGCTGTTGATGAGCGATAGAAAGTATGACTGGAGTTAGTCCCTATGGAACATTTCCCTAACTCTCCAGGTCTTACTTTTTCTTTGCTTTTTGGGGTGTTGAACAAAGATTTCCTATGTATTCTGGCGTGGTCCTACTTAGGGTTATACCTGTTTTACTCTTTGTATGTAGTCTGAGCCTATTTTGTTTGTTTTGTTAGTATTGTGAATATAATACATATACAACATTAATAATATGTGTATATAATATGCAACCCAAGAACAGCAAGGACACGGCACAGAACCCACAAGCGTGCCAGATCCCATTATGGCCCTCTCTATAGTGGCCTTTCAACCATGCATAAACCACAGGGGAGCTGGGCCATATCTAATTGACAACATAGAACGCAAACATTGAATTGAACAATCATTATCAGTGTCCATTCCCCAACCGAATAAATGTGGATATTTATGAAGTAAATAAGTTGTTTTACTAAGCCAATGGAAGTCAGTGTATCAGAAACCTATGGAGTAAAATGGTAAGAGCAATTGTGACATGTCTTTAAAAACAACTCAATATTAGAACCAGGAAGTAATTTCAGGACCATAGACAGCTCTTTACTCTCCACTGTTTTAACTCAACAGCTGTACTGAATTTGTTTCATAGTTATCTCAGTAACTTAAAATATTATTGTTCAATTACAGAATTTCTGCAGGGCAATTATGTTTATGAAGTAGTGTCATAGTTGTAGTCTTCTAGAGGGTTGTCAATGACAGACCTGTGTATCAGCATGAACAAAGGCAGATAGGCCAGAAAGTCCAACAGGTCTAAAGGGGGAATGTGCTGCAGTTCCATTCTGATCGTGGCCTCATGCTCCAGACAGAGGCCCCCAGCCTTTAACTCCAGAATCAGTTGTTCTGGGCTGATATACTTCTGTGGGGACGTCACGTCACCTGACTGCTCCTCTAGAAGGCACAAGAACAGCTTCTGCGTGATAACAAACACAACATTCAAGTTCAAAGTGGTTGATTGAGCTGATATGAATGTTCACAACAGTCAGAGTGACTGGTGCGTGAGCCACTGAGTCAGACTGGCCTCAGATTACATAGGTCTGTTTGCGGCCTTAGTGCACCTGTTTGCACAGTTAATGCAGCCAGTCGAGGTAATAATTGTTGGGGGAGGGAATAATCCCTCAAGCAATCAGCCCATTCTCCCTGCCACTCTGCTGTTAACAGCCCTATCCCTAACAGCTCTATAATTACACAGCCTGCCTACCTGGCCATGGGCTCACGTCGCACCCGCGGCCTCTGGCTTTCATGTTGATCTCCTTCTGAGTGCTGTAGCTGTATGTGAGGCTGATCATAGGGCTGACTGGACAGCATGTTCAGTGCCATGCACTTTAATGAGATTAGAGGCATGCTAATCTATGAAAAAGGAAAATCATCCTTTCTTTTTTCTATCTGACTCACTTCCCTAATTTCAAAGCACAAGTATTGAGTGGTTGACATAAAACAATCTGATGTACAAAGCACTCCCTGTAATTGCTCTAATTCCACAAGTTTCCACTAGAGTGGTCATTTTTCAATAATCCTCACAGACAAAGATGAAGCATTTTGAAGAAATATTACAGTTTTAAAATGTCAGACAATTACCTTTGCTTTAAAGAGCTTAACTTCCAGAGAGTGAAAGTCTGTACTGCTGATAAGGGAGCGCATATAGTCACTGGAGAAAAAAAAAAAAACAATTAAAAAAACAGAAGAGAACCCCCTTAATTCCTGCTCAAATGGAATCATTCTTGGTCATTCTTATAATACAAAGAGACTAATGAGAAGAACATTGATAGTGTGTTTTTGGCGGGTTAATTCAATGGTGATGCTAAAGTGTTCTGAGTCTATTGTGGTTGCTCACAGTGACAAAACAATGCATGGGTACACACACATATCCCGCCTTAGTAACGGATAAAACTTGGATTTGGGAGTGGGGATGACGAAGCAGGTTGAGTGGGGTTCGTTAGAGAAGGAGGGTGAGGTAACAACCAGGGCACACTCTATGATGCCCAACCTCCAACCAGCAAAACTAGGTCCACTTAGATAATTAGACAAGGACGCAGCTCTCTGGTCCAGCGTGTGGCATAGTACTGTGGTCCCTTCTATAACGAGCGCCCAGTGTTAATGAGCCCCTCCTCTCAGTAGGCTGAATGACCTGTTACTGCAAAGAATGGACCAGCGCTAGGCCATTGAGTGCAGTCTACGCCTGAGTGGTCCTGGGCTGAGATTGGCCCTAGTCTGCCAACCATAATGTGGGCAGGGGCTTGATGAAGATGGATAAAGACACAGCAGCTAATGATCATTAATTGCACTTGGTTTGCAGAAAAAGAGTCCAAACACTGGGGTGCTAAGGACACTGGCATGACAATAGTCAGCATACACAAGGGGCAGAGTCTGGTGATGGACATTCAGCAGGATAATAGCAACCTAACCTATTTTCTTTTGTATGAACCCCTGTGGCACCCTGCTGAGGTCAAAACAGCCAACTCTTTGCTTACGTAATGAGAACGTTTTTGGCGGTCTTCTTGTCCAAAAACAGAGATTGCACACAAACAAACATTTACTAATGTTTTGACAGAGACAGTCGGAGCATTTATTGGTAAAAATACAGATAAAAAGAAGAAAGAGTGATTGTGTAACTACTCTTGCTGCCCATTTTTAATCTTGGATTAGAGACAACAGGATTAACCGAATCAGGCAATAGGATCAATCCAGATGAGTTGAGAAGGTGACAGAAGGATGGTATTGTCTAAAAACAGGGAATAAAAGAGAGGGGTATCATGGGTGTTACCCTCTCTAGACTTTATTTGAATTATAAATTCCACTTTTTGTGGAAAAAGTTTAATGTGGACATTCATTATCATTACTATAATTGGCTCTATGCAGAGCAGACACCATGGCAGTTCTGCCCCAGTCAGTCTACAACACAACACAAAGAAGTGGCCGTAAATCTGGGGACCCATGACCCGACTCTGCAGTGACTAAGAGGGAGCTCTCACTTTGGGGCCAGGACAGCGAGAGTAGGCCTTGACCCTCACAGACCTCCAGAGGAGGGTGGCTGCATCAACTCTTGTGTGTGCAGAACCATGAACCCTCAGGCACGATACAGCTCTGTGTGTGGGAATCCGCAGCATATGGGCCCCACACAAGACTAAGGACAATCATAGCAAACTACCAAACTATAGTAAACTGCATGAGTAACAAGCTGACAGTAAGTTCGTTAACATGTTTAATATATGTCTGGTCACTCACTCCATTCTGGATATCCTTTGGGCCAAACTGGCAATGACCGCAAATAGCCTAAGGTCCACGAGTCCGTCAGTGACCCTAAAGTCCACCAGCTCCAGAATCTGAAACCAACATATTACTTTCTTTATATATGTGTGGCATTTGTATTTGTCTTCATTTATCAGCCATCTTTCAAGAAATGACAAACCCTATAAACATAAATTTCTTCTTCTTCAGACAGCAATTCAGGGGGAATAATGCGTTTCAACACACACAGAACTTGAAGACATGATAGAAAACCGTCCCCATCACTGTCTGCCTAAAAATTATCAGACAAGATATCACCAGGACAGAATAGAATATTTAAATATTATTATTATTGAAATTACTTACTTCTTGAAAAGCGCTTTTGTACTCAGCCAGCCTTTCCTGATTAAAAATACAATATTTGGCCAAAAAATCAACTGTATGGAAAAAAGAAGAACAGATCATAACTTCTCTTCAAAAAGTCAACATGTTACGACTAGGTAGAACAATGCTTTAAGTTAAAGTTTTGCATATGGCCTGAAGACACTTTTATGCCACATATGAATTTAGAAGATGTTTATTCTCTCAACCGTACATTTCATTCTCTGAGTACTCCCATGAATATTTCATTAAGAAAATATACAAAGAGTAGCCTAGGAAAATGGGGTTGGGGGGTTTTAAGCTGCTGCTGCCACTTGAATCTAGAAAATGAGAATGAGTTCCCTGAATAATGGGAGCATTCATTAGGTGTGGAGAAGAAAGAAGAGCAACAGAGTTTGTATCACACGGGACCTAAAGCCGGGCACCTCTGGGGTTTGGGGCTGCTCCAATTTGCCATTTATCAGCTTATGCCTAATCAAAATCAACCACTTGGTGGCCTCATCCTTTCACATGCAAAATATGACATTGAAATTGAGTCAACTTTACTTGTTGAAGCTTGAGTGATCAAAAAACATGCGCGTTAGCTTTGCACATCTGTTTGCAAATGTCCACAATTTAGCCGTATTCTTGAGACATGAATATTTACTTGATCCCACATGGATCAGCACACAACAATCTGCCATAGTGGAACACAGGACAGCTTAAAGAACGGACCAATAGATAAGACCATTGCAAACTCTGGAATAGCTGCAAACTGTATGTCCAATAAGACATGAAATATTCTAACATTATAGAGGGCATAAAAGATGAAAATACAACAGAGATTAAATTTGACAAAATCATAACATAAAAAAAAAAAGATAAAATAGGAGGCTATATAAATATATATACACAGGATATAAACATACACACATAAATATCCTTCAGGTCAAATCATCAATGCATCCAGATATTTTTATTGATCTTATTTCAAGCATTCAATGAAAAAATTAGAAAAATTGGATTAGTCAATATTGAGAGCATAGTTCAGACACAGTGGTGGCAGGGAGGCTGTGGTCTGAGCCTATAGGGTGCACCACGTCCACTGCACAATAGGTGCAGTGGAGTGAGAGATTGAGGGAGGAAGCAAAGGCGGGCAGAGCTGAGGGACAAAGACGGCCGTAAAGCCTCCTTTCTGATAGCCTTATCTGATTCCACTCCAGCGCTTGATGGCTTTTTTCACCACGCCTTTAATGCACACCGGTTTGGCCTTTAGAGTGAAGCCTAGCAGAAAATGTTAATCAAGACAGACCCTGTGTGGAGAAAGGCGAGAGTCATTCCACTCAGGCCATAATCTGTAATGAGACCACAGCGATTCAGTTGCAATTGAGAGAGGAAGAATAGGGTCATGATGATGATGATGAGCAGGGAGGTTCACTCTTTCACCAGCGTTTGTTTATCACTTTTGTTCTTTTTCGTGTGCAGAGTCTCAAGGCTTGGGCACTCTGAGCAGGCTGCAAACAGCCAGGTCACAACTCATTTAACACGTACTTGGATGTAATTTTCCATGTCTGCAGCTGACAAATGAAAAACACACCGATGGCTCCTCTGACAAATATTGTTGTTCGTCTGTGTATGATTTATGCCCCAACCAGAGAAAGGGAGGGAGACTTTACGTCAATATTCGACCTTCACAATCACAACTATGGACAAAATAATGACAAACAAAATAACAATGTGTAAACAAGGTTCAAAGTATAACTAATATTATGCCCAGTTAACCATAAACACAACCTAAAAACCGTAAGTGATTTGTAAATCGATTGAACCTTCAACAACACATCTATTGTTTTCCTGCTTCATTAAAGAGTGTTTTTCAGCGTGTCCCAAAACCAAATAGTGTCGCATAATTCCTAAAACAAAGGTTATACACAGTAGATGACCCCATTTTTAAGAATAGGAGACTGGCAGGACGACATGGCCCAAATACAGATACAAAATATGTGACAGAACAAACAGCTATCCCTCCCCCAACTGAGTTGCATCTTTAGTTGCACTACATTTAAATAAGAAATAAGTCAATCATAAAATGTCAGAAGATTCTTAATCAAGATGGACCTTGTGTAGAGAAAGGCGAAAGTCATGCCACTCATTATAATCTGTAATGAGACCACAGCAATTCAGTTGCAATTGAGAGAGGAAGAATGGAAAAAGAGTTTTGTCCGCTCCTAACACTTGTCATTTTCCATGTCTGAGCAGACAAATGAAAAACACACAGAAGGTCTAACTCAAAATGTAAAGTTATTTTTTGTAGTAATACTGTACATTTAGAATGTACCTTATACTTCTCACTTATATTCTGAAATACTGAACATTACGGATGCCCATATAGCGTTTTGTGCAGCATGTTTGCGCAGCCTTTGGTGTTGAATCCTCCTGTTTACCTTTGGTCACAATGTGACTGGGCAAACAAACAGTTCACCTATTGATGCACAGCACCCAGCCACTGTATGTAGAGAAGAAAAAAGAGCGGTAACAAGGGAGTGAGCAAAGTCAATCTGTCAAAGAGTCTATTATCCAATGTACAAACAGAGCAATGCCTCCACAATGGTCTTATTAATGGCACCATGTCAAGAACCGGAGGGCAATAATAGCAGATGATTTAGCTTTGTGAGGATATCTCTGGAGATCTCTTGCTGTATACAGCAGATGATTTGGAGTTGAGTTTGTTTGGTAGTGTTTATAGCATGCTCACAGAGCGTGTGTTGTGGTTTGTGGCGTGCAGGAGGGAGGCCACTGCGTGTGTCGTTGTTTGTTTTCAGCATCTGTGAGCCGTTATAATATACAGGTACAAAAAAAGTTGAGCAAGTTTACTTTTAAAGACCAAGTCCTGACAGCTCTGTTTGGGCGGTCTCTCTTTGGTCATGTGTGGACAGAATGAAGGGCACAGTAGACGAGGGTCTCTGTTGGTCTCACCATATGACGTCATCGGACATTTTAATAAAAGTGTTGGTGGGACATTTTGTTAGCAGTCTGAGCAGGGATAGATAGACAGAGCACATCGCAGAGCGCCTGGATGTTCTCTGCACATTTTCAAGCCTGGAAGGGACAGTTAAAATGGTTCAGCTCATAGGGTTAGTTATAGGGAATTAATAGCTCAGAGAGTTTTGTATTAATATTTAATTGTAAAGATAATTAAATGTTGATCTATTTTTAATTCTTGTTTGCTTGGTCTTATTTCTGTATCAAATTCGGACACGTCCGTCAATATTTTTTGACAATAGTATAGATTTAAATTGAAAATAAATCCTTCTTCTAACATACAAAGCCATAGAGGTAGGCTCCCTCCTACCTCCAAAACACGTTAGTGTCATACCAACCAAACTGAAGACAGCGCTTGCAAAACGCAGAGCGTCAGGTGGTTCTAAAGCGTCAACAAGTACTTTACTATGGAATCAGCTTCCCATCCATGTTAAGGAAGCCGACATAGGCTTTACATTCAAGGCCAGGCTTAAAACAGTGACCTTTAATTTAGCATATGTTTAGGTAGGTAAGACTTAAAAACATACACAACCTTATGTTTAAAATACATGGATTGTCAGTCAAGCTGCATATGGAGTCAGTTGGGTGGGAGAAGTATGGTAACTTGAGCACTATCCTCTCCTCCTTCCTACTTTTTCTGTGATCATTATGACTTTGACTGTAGTCTGTTCATTACTATTCACCCTCCATTTGCACCTGCAGACTGCCTTGTCCGGCCCGACTCGTGGGCTACACCACCTCGCTGCCTGCACTTTTCTGTATTTAACAAAACCAAGTCCACTCACTCCTTTTCACGAGGACGTACACAGGATGAACATATCGGCAGGATCACCATTAAGACGCATTAGGAAAACCTCACTACACACTTAACAAGGTAAGAAGATAGACCTCCACTGGTCAAATCAACGTGATAGAACAGCGTGATTAGATAACTACACGGAAATCAAGTGAACTGCACTAGTCTATATGTTCACTTATGGCAGTGCTCGACAAACTCCAGATAAAGGGTGAGGACTTGTGTATGGGCGAATTGTTTGTATGGCTAGTTGGCTACACATGTTCATCTGAAGATTGTATCCAAAACACATGGATATACAGAAGCTACATGCACTGCTGACACACTAATTCCGCTTTTCCATAGTCACGGTAAGGCACGGCACGGCCGGGTGTGGGTGCTTTTCCATTAAAAATGGTCTCTTCTGCATGGGAGGGGTTGTCAAACTACGTACTTTACTCGCGATGCGTAACTAGTAACATTGGTCTGATGCATCACTTTTTGTCATTTGAAATGAAATGTTTTTATTTCGAGTTCAAAAATAACTTAGATTTACAATATACATGTATTTTAAATAACTAAGTATCAACTCGAAAAAGGATTGCATAGTAAAAAAGGAATATATGATAAAAATCATATGCCTAAACATTTATTTTGCACTTTTGTTTTGATCAAAAATAAAACCTTTTTATATTTCGGATTTACTGACAAATATAATGTATGTAATGTAAATAGAAGTAAAAGTATGTGGTAGGAAATTGTAACTTTTGAACCCATTTTCTGCATGTGTACAGACAAATGAATGAAACAAAGTCCTGATACAATCAGAGATTTATTTAAAAACAAAAGTAAAGTGCAGAACCAACAATTTACAAAGTCCAAAGTACGTATGTCTGTTGAGACCAGGTCCAGATGAGGGGAAAGTGAAGTACTCCGGTCACTCATTGCTCGTTGGTAATCTACTCACTTGTGGGAAGGGATTCTCAAACAAATACATATACACACGACAACTTAAATACAAGCACAAAACAGAATGACAAAACGTGAAAGAGCCAAATACAGCACAGTAGAACAGGAAGAATGTTTTATCTTAGCTTGCTATCAATAGCTAAATGTAGCTAGCTCACTGTTTACAACAGACAATCAAACTTTTACACGATTAAATACATTTCAGTGAGAGCTTTGTGCCAACAGGATACGTAGCTAACCAGTTATTTCCAGGATAACCACAGGCTAGTCACAAATCTCCCTGAAAACCTCGATCTGTGTGCCGCGTTCCGTCGAGCTGCCTTTAAAGTCTTTCTTCGGCCTGAAAAGAGTAACGTGTGGACCTCATCGACTGACCAGGACGCTGACTTTGGGGTCTTTCTGTGTGATTACATTTCTCTGGAGTGAGGAAGTACGTTATTTTAATAGATCCATGGGAGGACATATTGAAGCAGAGCAGCCGGTTTTAAAGATGGCAGGGTTGAGGTTGTTTTTACCAAAGGGTCGGACGCCGCTTCCAGTGACAACACTTGTTGACCAATCAGTGTAAGGCAGTTGGCTGACGTCACCTCATGGTATTGATTCGGCGTGGATGGAACCACAATCGAGGTGGTACGAAAAAAGTACCCCCGATCCCAAGCCCAACCCTAGTGGAAATGCGAAATACTGTAACTACGCCATGCCGTACCATGCCGTGCCGTTACTGTGGAAAAGCGGCATAAGGCACTTGGTGTCTAAAGCCTAGCGTACATCGACAGAGAAACTGGGGACAACTAGTTGCAAGGCGGCTTTTGGCAACTGAGAGGAGATGGTGGGAGATGATCAGTTTCCGAAATCGGTCGATGTGCGCGCTCTTACAACTGGAGATGATCAGTCGGTCTCCAGTTTCAGTCAGTTGCCCGTGTTCTACTTTTCGGCAACTAGTTGTCCTCAGTTTCGGAGATATGACCCGATGTGCGCGCTCCATGCGCCGCTCCGACAACGTGTGTGTATTGCGTGTATAGCGAGCCCGAAACAGTTTATGTCAGAAAACACACTGTAGTTGAGGCTGCGTATGGGGAGGGCGAGCAGAGAGCGCGAGCTCAGCTTTCTCAACCGAAAATTTCTCAAAGTCAGTTAGTGCAGCTTTAATGTTGACCTTATGTGAGTGCATGGAATGAGGGGAAAAAACAGGTACTTCAGGTAGCCTATGGGGGGCCTGCTTTTGCAAATCGTCTATCCACCAATTCATTTTCTTCTACTCTATTCAAGGCCATGTCATGCAGTCAGTCAACCACCTTCCAGTGCACTCTGCATCTGATCCCACAAGGGGGCAGACCCACGTTGCCCCTTTGGCCTGAGCCTGGCCAGGGCACTAGCTGCATCATACCGCTTCATAATTCTACTTTTTTCACAACCTAGAGGAGTATGTGACAGTACTTCACCTTGTACCTCGTTGCCATCGGAGACCATACCAGTGCCATGATATCCAATATAGAAACATTGCTTCTCCATAAACCCCCTTTCGCAGTTCGTGGCTATCCGGACCTGACTACTTCAGAAAACCGAGTTATAGAACTGTTTAAATGAAAATTCTTCATTGTTTTTACTTGGGGAATATTATGGCTATCAAAACAGAAATTAGTAAGGCAATATAAAAAGTGCTTAATATCTTACTTTTAGTAATGTATCCAACAATACTTACAATCCTCAAAGTTTGAGTGGACTTTGACATTTGACAACTGGTGGGGAGCATTGTCCTGCAGTTTGGAAAGCATTTTGAGAGCCTTTGAATTTCTCTCCTTCCACTTTCTCTCTTGATCTTCATTTATTTCTATTGATGGACATGTCTCTTCAGATTCACGAGCAAACCCTGAATAATTCGACGACTTTCCAAATGGGGACATCTCATCTTCCAAAGAGTCTGAAACGTGCGATAAAAAAATACATTTTTTAGTATTTTGTTATCACATCCATCTTCTAAAGTACACATTTGAAAACCAGACTAAGCACAAAACAATTATTAGATGGTCTTATCATTATTCAAGTACCATACTTTCTGGACTATATAAGCCGCAGGTTTTTGTGTTGTAAAGCAGAAGATAGATGACTGTTTTAACTGGTCACAACAAGATTTAATGACAAGGTGTCAAACAGTTAAAACCTTTAGCTTCCATGTCGATACTCATTCACAATCTATTTTGACAAAAAACATGCATCCTATAGCAACTAAAACTTGATTGAGTCAAAATAATAAGTCCATAAAATCTGCTTTGACAACAGCCCAACTCAGAATAAAAGTATACATTCGAAGGAGGGGCAAGAAATGCTCAGAGGCTCGATGCCGTTAGAAAACGGTGCTCTTCTGATGGGGTAAGCTTTGTATGGCATTCACTTGGATTGTGTACTATCCAATTTCTATATTGCATTGACTAGTTTTTTAAATATATTTTTTCATGTTTGTCACATGACTGATGGGTCTCACTTTTTCCATCTATCCAGGTGCCTCTGACTCTGTTCCTTTAACATTTACATATTAGCTGCATCGCTATAAGCCGTGGGGTTCAAAGATTTGGATTCAAAGAACCCAATTGGTTGAAAACAATCCCACATGCCCATTGACCGGTCAATTTGACACCCCACCCCACCCCAACAGACCCAGTCGAGTGTCTATTGAAAGATGCCTCACCGTGAGTGCCTGCCTGAAAACTGAAGGATATAGACTCGATTATTTTGATTATAGATATAGATTATTTTGATATGGATTTCTGTAAAGCTGATTATACACATCACTGCTGCTGACAGTCAAACCTCACATCATCCACGTCCTCCAGTAGAGTGTTGTTCACCCTTTGGTTCCCCCCAAAAAACGGCCAGTTCTTTAGGTATGTGAATGTGCATGGCCAAGTTTTTTAAACTTTTGAACCTTGGACTTTTATTGTATTGTCACCATTTAAATCTTTTTTTTTGCATTCTTACATTTTGGGTTGATTAAAATAAGGATTTTTATTGTAGCTAAAAAAACTAAAAAGATTGGCAAGTAAAAGTATTCAATAACTGCATCTCAAGAGACTGAAATTGTCGTGGTACAGGTTACTGTCAAGTTTAAGATTTATCCTGTTTTTGTTTTGTAAGTTGTCAACCTCTGCATCTCTACTTCCTGTTGTCCGATCACCTGCCCCGCCTTCATGTGTATCACCTGTGTCTCACTCTCTGTTCCATCATTGTCATTTCCACGTCTTATAGTTCTTGGCTTTATCCCTTGTTTGGTTTCTTTTGATTTTGTATTTGCTTGTATTAAGTAAGTAAGTAAGTAAGTAATATTTCTTTTTATAGCGCCTTTCACAGACCAGAGTCACAAAGCACTTTACAATTGTTGTGGGCATTTGTCTCTCGGGCCCCGTCCACACGTATCCGGGTATCTGCTAAACTCTTTTCAAAACTCTGTTTATTCATTTGCGTGTGGACAGAGATAACCGGAGTTTTGCGTTTTCACACATCAAAGTATGCCCCCAAAACAACAACAAACAAAATTAATAGTTACCTAATGTAACTTAAGTTCTACGAATAGGTGCGTAGTCCCTTAGCGGACTTCGCTAGTGGGCTTTCTCGTGACCCCCAGGTCACAGACGCCAGAGAGATCAACAAAAAATGCTCCAATCACTAGCCACCCTCCTCTATAAAGGCCCCTGCTCCATAGCCGCGCCCCCTCTTGAACTCTGCCAAGCCGGGCTGGCCTGATGGGCTCGTAGCTAAGAGACTACGCACCTATTCGTAGAACTTAAGTTATATTAGGTAACTATTAATTCTACGTCATGGTGCTACGTCCCTTAGCAGACTTCGCTAGTGGGACACAACGCGGAGGCCGTAGGAACATGTACTCCCAGCAGGCCAGCGAAGAGTGATTGGAGCTCCGCCCGAGCAAGACCCTCACAAAGTGAGAGGACTCAGGGCAGAAGAAGCAATTGCGTGTTACAGGGCCACTCCTCCCAAGGATACCCCCAAGTACTGTATGTAGTAGTCCCAGGACGCCTCTCCCAAGAGCTCCTGACGTGGACTACCTGACTGACCAAAAGCACACATATATACCGCACCTGCAGGACGCCTCTCCAAAGAGCTCCTGAACCAGGGCGGAAAATCAACCGAAGGCCCCCTCAGAGGAGGAACCTAACGGTTTCAACTCAGTCCGCTGCACTCAGCACGGAATGGGCCACCGACCGGTCCGACACATCCAAAAGTTAGACCGGACGAAAGAAGAGGACGACGGCCAAGAAGCCGCACGGCACACGTCCTCAACCGACGCCCCCCTGAGGAGGGCCGTAGAGGCCGCCACCCCACGCGTGGAATGCGACCTGAAGCCCACCGGGGGGGCCAGACCTTGAGCCTGATACGCCCGCCGCACAGCCGTGGCGACCCAGTGCGCCAGCCAATGAGCCGTCAACGGGGCGCCCCTGTTCTTGGGGCCCAGACACACAAACACCTGATCAACCAACCTGAATGAAGACGTCATGGCCAGGTAATGCCTAAGCATTCTGACAGGACACAGAAGGTGCCGCCGCTCCTCCTCGGGGGAGGCATGCGGCGGCGGATGGAATGCCCTGATCCTGATCACTCTCGACTTGAAGGCCGACGTGATGACCTTGGGGAGAAAAGCCGGATTGGGCCACAACTCAACCAGGTCGTCGCCCTCTCCAATGGACAGGCAAGACGCATGGACGGAGAGCGCACACAAGTCGCCCGCCCTCTTGGCAGACGCCAACGCCAGCAAGAGGGCCGTCTTAAAAGCAACACACTCGGGACTCGCCTCCGCCGCAGGTTCAAAAGAGGTCCCAAACCGGAGGCGTTCTCTGAAGCGGGGGCCTCCTCCTGTGCGCCCCCCGCAGAAAACGTTTAACCAACGGATGAGAGCGGGCTGTGAACCCCCCGAATCCGTCGTGACCCAAGGTAATGGCTGCCGCGAACACCGCCAAGGTGGCGACAGCCCTCCCTTTGTCAAAAAGCTCCTGTAGGAATCCCAGGACTCCCTCCAGCGGGCAACGCCTGGGATCCCAGGAGCGAGAACCGCACCAGTCGCTGAAGAGCCTCCATCTCGTGGCGTAGGCCCTCACAGTGGACGGCGCCCTCGCCCCCTGAATGGTCTCCACCACCGCCGGGGGAAGACCCAGGTCTACGAGGTTCCGCCTCTCAGCCTCCAAACCCAGAGCCTGCGGCCGATCATCGAGCGTGAAAACAGGGCCCCCCCCCCCTGGACTAGAGCCCCCGGCTCGTCCGGGAGGGCCCAGGGCTCCATCACCGCCATGCCCCTCAGGAAGGGAAACCACCGGGCATGTGGACTGTCCGGAGCCACCAGGATCACCAACCTCCTCTCCTGTTCGATCCTCCGCAGCAGGACCGGCAGGAGACGCACTGGTGGGAAGGCATACAGCAGGCCCTCTGGCCAGGGGTAATGAGCCAGAGCGTCCACGCCTAAGCGCGGCTCGTCCGCGGCCCTTAAGGCGAACCAGGACGGGCACTGTGCGTTCTCTGCACTGGCGAAAAGGTCGACCACTGGACGACCGAACCTCCGCCAGACTCAGCACTCTGGGCCAGGCCCCACTGTCCTGGAGGGCCCCCGCTGCCATCTTGTCGGCCCCAGTTCCGGACCCGGACATGGCGCCCCAAGACAGAAGTGAAGCGCCCAAGCATGTAACCGCGCTGGATTGTGCACCCTTGCCTGTTCAGATAAGAGCCACGTGGTGTGTCTGAGCGAACCATCACGTGTCTCCCTGCACTGAGGCAAAGTGCACAGTACCTGTACTGCCTCCATCTCCAGAAGGTTGATGTGGCGGGCTGAGTCCGACCAGCAGCCTCCTACAGAGCTCTGGCCGAGGACCCCGCTCCAACCCTCGAGTGACGCGTCCGTGAACACCTCTACGTGAGACACGGCGCAGGCCAGAGTCACTCCGTCCCGCAACAGACCCAGAGTGAGCCAAAACCTGATGTCCGATGCTGCCACTTGGGGAACCTAGATCAGCCTCCCCCCGTCCCGGGAGGGGTGAAGCCTGAGGCGTGAGAACCACCTCTGAAAATTCCTCATGTGGAGAAGGCCTAGCCGCACCACAGCATGAGCCGCCGCCATCATCCCCAGCAGGGACCTGAGGCGCCGAGCGGGGACCCTGGGGCCCGCCAGAACCTCCCTGGCCAGACGGGTAATGTTCCTCCGTCTGTCCTCGGACAATGCAGCACGGAATGTCACAGAGTCTAGCTGCAGGTCGAGATAGATCACGCGCTGAGCCGGCTGCAGCCTGCTCTTCTCCCTGTTCACCACAAAGCCCAGACGCTGTATGTGGGACAGGACCCAGTGCGTGTGGCTCACGGCCACTTCCCTGGATGAGGCCAGTATTAACCAGTCGTCTATGTAGGTTAATATTCTTACCCCTGCGCGTCTGAGCGGCTCCAGTGCCGCCTCCACGCACTTTGAGAAGGTCCGAGGCGCGAGCGCGTAGCCGAAGGGGAGACGGCAGTACTCGTAATTCCTCTCTCCCACTGCGAAGCGCAGGAACCTCCTGTGTTCCGGAACTATCGGCACGTGAAAGTACGCGTCTGTCAGGTCTATGGAGGACATCCAATCTCCCTGCCTGACACACTCGAGGAGCTGTTTTGTGGACAGCATCCGAAACTGCCGTTTGGAAATGCACTCGTTCAGAGCGCGCAAATCCAAAATGGGACCCACCCCGCCTGACTTCTTTGGCACCAAGAAGTAAGGGGAGTACAGCCCCCTGGTGGCGTCCTGTGGGTCTACCTCCACTGCTGCGCCTCGACTCAGCAGAGAGGAGACCTCCACTTGTAGTGCCACTAATGATCCCCGTACCTGAGAGCGTGCTGCCCGTACGCCTCGGAATGGTGGTGGCTTTCAAGAGAATTGCAGCGCGTAACCCCTGCGCA